TCGATAAATGCAAGTCAAACTACTGATTAATAGCACGTGGTATAGCATATGAACTCCACCTGGCCGCTTCTGGGACTACTATCGAGCTCAAGCTCAGATAAGGGAGGAGAATGTGTTTAGAAACCACATCCCGTAGAAGATGAACCCGCTAAAAAAAAGCTAACCAGAATGAATAATTCAAACCATTTAAACTCCGCTCTGGGAGTAAAACGTCTTCGTTTAGAAGAGTTATCACGCTTCATAGCGAAAGGCGAGTTTCTTCGAAAGTCACGAGGCTGATATACCTTCTGACAACCAGAGCAACAACTAATGTGTGTAAGGAATGTTCATAAAATGTGAGAAATGGAAAGGACCATTAAAGCTGCTCCGGAAATGAAAAGATACAACCTGGTGGTGTTTGGAATAAGTGAAACCCAGAAACATAAGCTGAACAAAAAAGATTAGATTCAGGAAAAATTCTGTAGTACTCTGGTCGTGAAAAAGAAAATGTCTCACACACACGAGCTGCACTGATGCTATCCAAAAAACTCCAGAAAGCACTTATACGATGGGAATATCACGCATACAGGATCATCTAAACATCCTTCAAAAAAACAGATCACAGTGAATATCATCCAGTGCTGCGCACCTACCAACGATAAGAATGAAGATCAAAAGATCAATTCTACAAGAGGATGCAGTCAGTCAACGAGAAATGCCCTACAAAGGACTTGACTATTCTGTTGCGAGACCTAAACGCCAAGGTTGGAATGAACAGCTCCAAACACAACTGCATACACAAAGCTACATGAGTTTCACTGGATCACACAACGCAAAACCAAAGTGACCCCATCTGAATCAATAAAAAGTTCTGGAGGACCATGTTGGAAGTGAAAATTAGGAAAGGAGCTGACAGTTTCACATCATGATTTGTTGGTCGCCAAGATGTTGTAGTGTGCCGATTTACTGAGTGTTCTTAAGCTCGGTAATTAGCTGGTCTAGACAATCGTTACTAACTAGCGTCTGACGGTTATATATCAGAAGGTGAACTCGTAGTGATGAATACGTTTATTCGGGACACACCACGAAGCGAAGCGAAGAAGCAATGAATAAGAGAAGGCTAATGAGCCAACTCAGAGAAGTAGAGCATGACTAAGAATATATAGTCAGGCAAAAATAAGACAGACATGTGATCAACGAGATTGGCATGCACACACATGAATAAAAGCGACGAACGGTTGACAAGGTCAAATGACAAGTGGGACACGTCATGTGAGCTCATACAAACCAGACAATAATAAGAACGAATGGTACATATAATTTGTTGCTATACAAATGGCTTGGTCAAATAAATTAATCGAAAGGGATTAACCAAATTAAATGTAAGCGAACTGGAGTATATGTGGAGGCACTACAATGTAACAGAAACTGATGGAGCACTGGGCGACTAGGTAACCAGCATCATAAAAGTTTAATACGGCCTTTCTTCGGGATACTAGAACACTCAATGAATTCAAGATATCCCTCAGCAATAGGTTCCAATTCTTTCACATCTTATTCAATATAGAGGAAACTACTTTAGTGGTGATCGAGTCGAGGTTGACTATGATCACCACTAAATACTAGTTACTAGCCCATCACTGAGAAGACAAATAAATTCAGGGTAAAGAATATATTTGCTTGTGATTTCGTGCAGTCGGAAGAAGACCGAAATTGCACAAAGAAAGTGGGCGAAATAAAAAGCAGCTACAGCAGAGATGGCAGCAACACAAACAGATGGTCGTAATCAGCTTTATCAAACAGCAATTGAGAATGAAAATCATATATCAATTTAGGGACACGACAGACTGTCAAGTCAGTTTCTTCCATGCCTTTTGAAGAGTAGGCCAAGATATCCAGTTAGGTTGAGATATAGGTATAAATCTGTTCCCATCGAAACGCGGCTGAGGTAACAACTACTGAAGTTGGAATTAGTTTATTATTATTCATAGGGGTTGAAAGGCTTATCAGTTACTTGCAGGTAAAAGGTAAGGATATTATCCTCTTCGATCGTTCCGTTACCTACAGGTCTATTTATGGATAGTTTAAAAATTTAATGTTGCGACAAGTGGAATGTAAAATGTGACTGTATTTCTAAACAACAGAATCCATTAAAATATACTTTATATTTAATGATTGTTGAGAGAGAACAATTGAAAGTCGACATCTTTAGATGTGTAGAGGACGACAAATCTCATCAAGAAATATGAGTAAACTGAAAATGATTTGATTCATTATTAAGTCTTCTACTTGAAAGTTTGTTTCTGACTTCTTAGCTGGTTCCTCAATCCCCATACTACTTCTCCATTTTAATTCAATCTCAAGAGAGAAGGCGCGAAATATGAGTGAACGTTGTACTTTAAGATTAATCTGATGTGTACGAAATTGAGGTTCTTTACAGCTTTTTGAGTAACTTTCATATTTTGAGGATTTCCGGAGACATTCTTAATATAATAATAAAACAGGTAGCTATCCAATCAAAACATGATACACAGTCTAGATGTACCTGGGAAGCCTATATTTAATGTTGATTGGGCTAAACTGTTTCTAAGTTCATTTTGAAGTGTGCTATTACTACGTCTGATGTCGAAGAAATAGGTCGGAAGAAAGTTGATCACTGGTAAACTAAGATGCTATATGAATCACTGAAGTGGCTATCCAATCCGCTAATCTACGATAACAAATCGTGTGCAAGGTCGTAACACTCAGCATTCGAAACAGGCTATTTATAATACAAAACGAAGTAGTCATAATAATAAAACTACATCTAGTTTATAAGTTCTAAATGGAACAAATCACTAGCTACGAAAGTATGATCATCCCATTCAAAGTACTTTTACCATTTTTTCTTTATCGGACCACAATTACAAGAACTTACTTTCGTACACAAAATCATTTTTAATTTCTAAACTATTTTCTTGTGATCTATATAGTTCTTGTGGTAGGCTTGCAAATATTAGTTATTTATAAGTGAATAAATGAGCAAATGACTGAAATAATTATAGAAGTTAGATTCAAACTAAGATCAAACACGTAACTGCCATTATAATTTGATTGAAAGCTTAATGGATATATTAATAAGATTATCTATCGTTCACGCTAAATATCTAACAATTAATTGATTAAGTTACTCAAATAACGGTTGTTGAGACTATGTAGTAGGTTTTGATCAGTTTTGGTTTACAAATGAGCATCCTATGCGGATTCCTTCGAAACAACCTCTATGTCACAAGTTATTTGATATAAATGGATTTCGGTTAACAATGGTGGTATCTATGGCGCCTATTTCGTTCTTTATGGAACTAGCCAGCTGAACTTACTGGATGTGAAATTCAGTGCTGGGATCAAAGTATATTCAGTTGACAAGTTCCAAATACTAGTGGCACCAATCACTCATATTCGATTGTTTTACTGGCTGTTCTTTATTGAATGATAACACTAGATCTATTCAGTACTAGAATAATTTTTTGATGGTATTGAGAATTCGTTTTCAAGAATTTAGTTTATCATAACACTCTCTATTCTTTGTTTGAGAACCTATGAAACATAGTACAAAAATAATATTTTTAGATTCATCATCAGAATTAAAAGGATCAATTTGGTTTTGTGAATAGTGCTCTAATTCTATTCATTTCACTGTGATAACGAATAAAATATTATCATTGTAATTCATGTTAATTTATTCACCAGTTGTGATAATACAATAATCATTCATCAACCATGAAAGATCTAGATGTCAAACTTCATTTTTTTCATATTCCCCTTTCTCAAATGAGATCGCGAGTATTGTTAGAATTGTGGAAAACTTACTAGTTTCTCTTTATTATTGAATGCATTGAACGTTGATTTGAAGTTAAAAGACTGTTACTCTGTTCACATCTTATTTTATAATACCGTTTTACGGTAGTGGCTTATAGGTTTGCCACAAATCCTGTTTTTTGGCCACCACAGTGTGTTCTATGTCCCAATAGTCTAATAAGCATAGTCGATAATTCTAAGCTATTCACTAATTAACATGGAGTTTAATTTTTCTGTTCATCGGGAATAGTAGGATTAGTTTTCGATTGAAAAAATGTATGCAATGAGGTAACTTTATGATCTGGATCATTGATCTTAATGTTTTCTTATTAATTAAAATGAAAAAAAAGACAAGCCCACCTGTTATTATTAGCTTTAAAGCCTAGGTTACAATTTTAACTTTATGACAAATCGATTTAATCCCAACTAGTAGCAAAATACAAGTGTATTAACAATACTAGACGACAGTTTATTTGAGTGCTCGATAGGTAGCAAATCGGAATAACATTACTTCACAATCTCTTATTAATTTATTTGACATATACATGATAACCATGTGCGAAATTCATAAAAAAAAGAAAACCTACTAAGGACATTGACTGGACAAGTGTATTGTTCAATTCATACGGGGCTATTTAATGAGAGCATGTTTGGTTACGTAAATAAAATTAAAAATTTAACATAGCATGAATTATTAGACAACAAACAGTGAAAGTAATCAGAACAATGTGCAGAAGACAAAAAACAATCAGATATGATATAAGTGACCACACAATAAGTGGAACATTTACATAGCCTAATCCTAATAGAAACAAATTTACAGAATAGAATTCGACTAATAAAGTCATATTCAACACGATTAGTACTTGTGATAAATTTAGATAATGCAAAGAGAAAATGAAAATTTTAACTACATAATATGTATATCATAATAAATCACAGCCTGAGTGGGAGAAAAAAAATGGTTTTTAAAAAAAAGGCAGATTATAATGACAACTAATTTTAGTACATAGTGTATAAAAAGAACCTAATTGAAAAAAAACTGATATTATGAAATGATAGTAACACGAAAAACTAGATATGTAAAATATAATTTCAAAAGTGTTACAACTTATGCAAGAAGAGATTCTATATTAAAAAAAATTGTCTATAAAACATTTTAAAAATAGGTAGTAGGTACAGTAGTTGTTCCTTTAAGAAAATGATTGAATGAATTCATTTTATATCACATTTACTTGAGAGGTAATCATCATGAAAGCTAGACTCATTGATTTGCATAAATTAAGTATTTTTCCAATTAGATACGATTAACCAAAAGTGGAGTTGTAGATAAAAAAGATTCTTAAAATAAATTCACACACATTGATATGTAATATTGAAACCACATTGAGGTATAATCATTGAATACGAATTTTTTTTTTTGAAAAACAATAATGGTAACAATTAAAAATGTTACTTTAAAAAGTAGAATAAAAAAAAAGAGAAAAATGAAAATGACAATAGAAAAAGGTAGTGTACATTCAAAGTTTTACTCCAAGCGTCGAGGATATCAAGGCATCCAGTAATTTCCAATGGAAGAAATATTATGTTTTATATTCTTGTCTGCGTCTAAGCGCCAATCAATGGAGCATTTAGCCATCTATCGAAAAAAATAGAGATTTGTGAATAGATTTAAAAAGGTTATTCATGTTATCATTGTTATCAGTAACGAAAATATCCATCCATAGAATAGATATTATAATATACTATCATTCTCTCAGTTAAAATTGATTTTTAAAAACTATATTTCACATGATATTAGCATATTTCCATTTTAAAAGAGCAAATCAAGATATTCATTGAGTTCATGAACCAATCATTCTTGGACCATCATTGAAAACCTGGAAGTACTCAGCTGCCATTTCATTCGAGTGTAGAACTTCTCAGCAGTACAAACTCATGATCTTGTATGCTGGAATCGGATTCAAGACACTCAAACTCGCGCACAAACGCTTAACTCTTGGACCATTAGGTGGGTGTCATTCATGTTAACATCTAACTTCAGTTAATCCACGATCTTGCATGACCATTATCTACCGTTGGATGCAGGCTCAGTGGTCTAGAGGCTAACCATTCGTGTGCAAGACAAAGTGTTCTGAGTTCCATTCTATCATGTAAGGTCATGGGTGCGTACTGCTGAGAAGTTCTGTACTAGGACGAAGTGGAAGTGCAGTACTTTCATGTTTCTGATGGTGGCCTAAAATTGATCTGTTCATAATTTCACTGAAGCCCAACAAACTTAACAACCCTATAATGACAAAAAAAATTTGATTATTGATATGTACAGGCAATATGAACTAATCTCAAATCTTGATCGGGTAATAAATCAATGAATAAAATTTGTAATCAATAAATACTACAAGATAAGGACAAACACCTGTTTATTTTTGGTGAAACAATAAACATATATGGAAAATAATTAAAACATGCAAACAACTATTATTCAAAGCAATTCAAGACATTCATACAGATGTAGAATAAAGGAACTTGATTATCAATCATTAGTCAATATAACTAAGATTTGATGAATTCATATTTCATGAAATACTTACTGCCAGATATTTCATACGCCAAGTTGCTGATATTATTTGAATTTAAGTGTTTATAATTGTAATTACTTAGCTGAACAAATTTATAGACAGCAGATAGTACTTTTCCATCACTGCATGAGTGATAAGTGATTGAACCAGTCAGTCGGCAAAGACGTAAAACTTGGTGCGCATGCACATCAGCTCAGGTTGCCATACCACACTAGCACAGAAACGTAATTGTCAATTCAAATCCCATAGTTGTAGAAGTAGTAGAAGTATTAGCAGTAATCAAAAAGATTAGACTTCGAATATATTATTCAATGAAATAAACTTAAAAGAAAAAGATAAAGGTCATAAGGATGCAGATTGGAATTTGAGAGAACATAAAGGACGGATGCACTAGCGCCATTGCAAACGATTCTCGGCCATGTCGTTCAAGATCTCTAACCATCGATTACTATCGTCTCACGGACCCCAAGTAGGTAGTCTAACACCTACTAACATGGCTCAGTCCACTTGTCAGTGACTTCATAGATTTCTGCCATGTTTTGTTCTGGCCGCCTCTATATTTCTTCTAACCTATTCCTACACTACAAAACATCGCTCGCCGAATCAGTTTCACTACTTCATCTGTTGATCTGCTATCCTTACCGAGCACCCATTTCCCAACAACTGCAATGGTTACTCGATAGTCCCAAGATAAACGAGCAATGCTTTGGAAACACTCATGATCGAAAACCAGTAACCTACGAATATCTTGTACTCTGAGTGACTATGTTTCGCATCCATAAAGTAGGACAGAGAGAACTCCTGCACAATACACTTGTCGTTTGGTTAGCAAACGGATATCTCGCTTACGTCATAAGTGATGCTTAAGGTGTCTAAATGATTCTGCATTTTTTCAACGTCTTAACCGAGTAGAACTATGTCATCGGCATATTCTAAGTGAACAACAAGACCACTCCACCACTAGTATTAAATAAAGACTGGATACTCGGATATATTGCCTTCTGTTGCTGTTGTACTTCAATAAAAGCATTTCACCATAGAATTATTGAAGAGTTTGTTAGGTGTTCCTTTACTAAAAAACTGACTTATTATTTCTTTGTAAATCATCTATGATCTTAGCAATAAATGTAATTAGATGATTATTAAATAATTCTAAGCATTTAAATTCTTTTATAAGTTGATATAAAAAATTTATGAGTACAAGTTAAAATTAGTAATCAGAATCTATTGAATAGCCTTGTTAAACGACTAAGAGATGTGGATTAGTAAAAATAATGTACCGTAGAATACAACATGTTCATAATTTGAACCTAACTGATTTCATCTTATTTCACAGATAATAAGTTTTAAAATAATATATACAAGTCTTTAAGTCAGGTCTAATTATAGTTGACTGTTTAACGAAGTTTGATTAGTGAAACAGACCATATATTAACCATACAGTAATCTGAAATTATCTCACATTACAAAGACATAGTTTGCCTAAAAATTGCTAAGAGGTGTGTATGTTTTTATTAGCTATTGACAAAGTCCTTTAACCTTAAAACTATGTATACCTCAAAGAAAATAAATGATACACGTTGACTAACGTATAAATCAAATAGTTTGAAAAACCAATTCATCTTTGGTCTTAGTGATTACATTATGAAAAGATAAACAATGAATAGAGAATTAAAAAAAAAGAATTTAAATAATCGATGAAAGCGAAAAACAAGTTATTCATTAATAAACACATTGAAACTATTAGTGTTTTTTTTCAAGTTGAATAATTTGTTCTCTGAAAACAGCGATCTATCTTAATTGAAATGATCCTGTAAAGTATGGTATAATAATGATGAATAGATTATAAAATCTAAATGTTCAAGTTAACAAAGTAACACTTTAAAAAAAAGAAAAAACTTACATAGTTAAAAGTGTGTATTAATCCCACATTTTTCGTTGGTATCTCTTTTTAAACAGCGCTTTCTCAATTTATTTGAATTAGTGAAAGTTGATTTCTTGAGTAATTTGTTAACTGATGGTTCAATATTTCTTAAGAAACCATTTGTATAACTATGACTCTTATTTTTGCATAAAATTTCTTTAGCCCATTCTGGAATTGGTTGTTTACTATAACGAATTCCTATTTCATCAGCAACTTGGTCGATTATATTTAATGCCTAAATAATAAAAAAATTTAAACATTAAAGAAGTTATAGGTTTTAAATTTTTTTAGTTCGAAATAAAAAAACATTTTATATACAGCATCGACTAAGCAAAAGTGAGAAACACAATTAATTTAGTATAACACATTATTCCGAATGTAGATATGGATACTTTATGATATAGCAGACAGGTTTCCTCATCATTAGCAAACAAACCAAAATATATGAAAGTCACACAGCTGATAGTCAGGCAGTCCTAAAGGAATTCCAGTGTTTATAGATTAACTATTATCTCATTTAAGGGAAAGGCGTTTGTAAAGAATAACCTGAAAAAACATAACCCATGCTAGATATGAACTTTCTTCATTCTTATTAGGTTTTGAAAACCATGAAGCTAGTACATCAAATACTTTCGACAAATATTCATACACTGTTGACATCAACCAATTGTCTTTTATACTCTATAGTCATGCTCCGAAGTCAGCCAGACTAGTAACACCAATCCAATTTTATATACGAGTCTCAGTTGAAGTAGCATCCTTTCGTGATTTGGGAGAACAAGGAATTTCAATATCTTACACATTGCCAATAGTGTTCACGTTAATATTGTTATCGATAAATCCGTTTTCGTATTTCTCAGCGCTTCCTCTACTCGTGCTGGTAACAAATTCTTCTTTAGCTCAACTACCTTTCTTATAATCGACCATTGTTAACGATGTGAGAAAACGAAATGTAGTCCGTCCTACCTAAATTTGCATTGCATTGAAATATTGAGGTCAACGTTTTTTGAACCCTGTATCGAATCAAACTACAATGCTTGTCGGCAGACATTTAAAAATTTTGCATCTTTGATGTATCATGTGTCTCTACAGGACCAGCATATAGTCGTTAACTTGACTTCAACTTATCAGCGTGGAGAAGAGGCTGAAGTTACCGAGTGGGCACATGAAGACAAGTATGTGTGAGTTTGGCATTAATTTTAATAGCAGAGGATTCATTAGCAAGATTTCTGACTATAATCTGTTGTGAATGAATATCTCTCTCAGTAAGAACTTAAAAAGATAAGGATACACACCATCGCTCATCCGAAGTCCCTGTCAACACTCTTGGTGGCTAACTTAGAAGAATTGAAAGATTAGATTACTAACATGTTTAAGCATCTTTATCTAAATTAGAAAGGCTTAGTGGGTTTTCATAGCTTCTGTTGACTTTTTGGGTCGCTTAAAACTCATCCCAAACTCCTCTGAACATGAAAATGCATGATAGCGACTCAAAGGTAGGATGACAAAAGCTTTCTGAAAGACGGTAGGCAGTTGTTTCCGACGATTACCAAAGAGATGGAGAAGACTGCAACTACAGGATATTTGGACATATTTAAAAACTCACTTATGAAACTGAGAATATAAAGATATTTGTTAACGAAAGTGTCTCTGAAAGAGACAACAGTTAAATTGCCCTACAGCTACTCTTTAGTTGCCTACTACCCACGAGCATCGTGAACCGAAAATTGACATAGGCCATGTCCTCAAAGCTTAATGAGGAAGAGAAAAAACTAACATGGAGTGAGCAAATAAGTTAAATCCAAAGATCTTTTAGAATGATGACTCGATATAACCAGTAAGTCTGACTAAGATATAACTGAGAGCTTCAGAGTAGAACATAACGTTATTGGACTAATTTTGATCAACGATATCTGTTAGTGAAAGTTACTTTTTTCAAAAGTGAAGGAAAACACGAGAAGCTTACCCTGTCTAATAATTCCCGTGTATGTGCTGATGAAATGCAAAATCTTACTCTGGATAAAAGTAGAGTTGTAGCTGGAAAACCAACGATCACAGTTCCTAATCCTAATTCTAAACACCTACGCGAAAAAGCAGTTAGTTTAGCTGGCATACAAATGATAACTGGTACAACAGGACTATCGCGATTTCCATATACAATCAAGCGCATTTCATGTAATCTTGCACGAAAATAACGTATATTCTCAGCTAAACATTTAATTCTGAAAGAATTAAAAATGAAAATATAAGACCAAACTATTTCGAAATCTTATGTGTGATTTTGAAAAAAAATAAATATTCGAATATAATTATAAACATTATCATCGCATATTTAAGGCAATGTTTATATTTTGATTTTGGTCTAGTAGCCAAATAACTTTAAGATTACAGGTTCAAACTCTTGATGAAGAAAAGATAAGAAACATCCATTTTATACAGAAAGGAGACAAACTTCTTGCTCCGAGAATTACACAGGATGAATATCAACCTATCTTAAATCTGTTTTAATTGAAAAAGCTGAGCATGAGATGTTTCGAAGGTGATTAGACAGTAAATGCTTTGTCTACGGTTTACGCCAGTACACAGAACATATAAGCGGTATTTGTCTTTGACATCTAGTTGAAATCTTATTAATTAGTTAAAAGTAATTTTAGAATTAATGGAATACGCATTCAAATAATAAATTAAGCAGCGTACTAAGAAAAGTAACACATAAGTCAAAGATGTACAAATGTACGTCAGTGAAATACATTTTATTAATAAATATATCTTCTCTGCGGTTCAGGGTCAGTCGTAAATATTTTATGTGCAATGATTGCCCAATTTCATTAGTTTATCATATATACTAACTACAACAATATTAAGCAATGATTTGGTATGCTAGTTTAGCGTTTAAACCAGTTTGTTGAAAGCAAACAAACAGTTATCAACATCATATACAAAATTATATTTTTTCTATTCGAATAACAGAATAATAATTTTCTTGTCAATAGGATTTTGTATGACAAATATTATAATTATCATAGTTTTCTCATTAATGAAATTTACTGGTGATGAAAAATCAATGATTATGAGGAGTTCAAGGCTTAAAGATAAACCAGAATAAGTCTGTGTATATTCTATCATGATTACATCGTAATGAGAACTTTAGCCATTGAAATTTAATAATCCAGTTTATTTGAAATGTTATACTAACCAGTTACATTTAATTAGAATCCTGAAATAGAGTTGTGGATAAACCATTGATTTAGTTTTATATTCACATTAAGAAGTCGGGTGTTAAGAGGAAATAAAATAATAGACAGTTTTTTAATGTTGCATGTTATGAATTCAATATTTACTTGCATTGAGTTTGCGAAGAATCCATTCGTACTTTCTCATTATTTCAGTTACGTGTGGTATTCATTGACTAATTATCACATACCAGTAACACCTGCATAAAAACTAGCATGGTTAGACATATTCTTTCTTAGATTACGTGAACTTGAGCTTTGTTGTTCTAAGTGCCAGCTATCCTTAGCTGTAAGTTTTCGATAAAAATATGCCATACAGATAATACTTGACCTGGTAGAAGGTTAGCGAGCTATTTCACACTTCACTGTAAATATATTAATATATATTTGAGTCACATTGAGATCATGAACCAATCAATGTTGGACCATCATTAAAAACCTAGAAGTACTCGATCGCCATTTCATTCGAGTGTAGAACTTCTCAGCAGTACGAACTCATGATCTTGTATGCTGGAATCGGATTCAAGACACTCGTACTCGTGCACAAACGCTTAACTTTTGGACAATTAGGTGGGTGTCATTCATGTTAATGTCTAACTTCAGTCAATCCACGATCTTGCATGACCATTGTCCAACGTTGGATGCCAACTTAGTGATCTAGAGGTAAATCATTTTTGAGTGGGATCCTATTTGGGATTCGTTTGTTGTATGTATCTGAATTTCATAGTTGATGCTCACTGCGATATTCGAACTCAGCACCGTCCGTTCCAAACGCCATTCTATTATCCTCTATCCATCTCTGGAAATACAGTCAACCAGCACAGTATACACATATACCAAACAGACTGATCAATTGCAGTCCCAAGCATCAATGGAAAGATCCAAGCAACCGATACAACTGAATATATAATAGATAGTTCATATTTTATTTTCACGTAAACTATACTCATACACATGCAACTATGAAAATACCGGGGTGAGCTGGCAACTAGTCACTGATGATTGAAGCATTGAAAGAAGTTATATTTATGTGCTCATCAGAAACAAAATAAATAATACTAAACCTTTCTTGCTTTTGAACGTAAAGAACTACAACTAACTTTGTACATAGACAGTGTCACTTATAAATGTTTTGCCACATATGAATTTCTGAATACCTAATGAAAACCGGTATCTATGCTGAATTACTTACAAATCACCAACCCTCCAAGGTTAGTAAAACAATGTTGTTAGATATATTTGAGCTTAAGTCCCAAATTTTATACGTTTTATCAAATATAAATGTATTGTGAATGCATATAGTAACATATTTAGTTGCTTACATAGTATTCACCTAGTATTTTATTGAAATATTTTGCTAGGAAACGCTAAAATCTAAAGTATGTTAAAAAAAACTGGTAAATATATATATACATAACAGTAATGTGATTAATTTACCTTCGTTCACCTTCACCAGGTATATCTTTCCCCATAATAATTCTTATGGATGATATAATTTGTTGAGCTATTGGTCCTGACATACTACAACCATAAACAGCATTATATGACACTGAACGAATATAATCTATTAACTTTCGACTTCCAGCTAGATATCCACCACATGAACCGAAACTTTTTGTAAATGTACCCATTGAAATATCAATATCACGTGGATCAACACCAAAATAATCAGCCACACCACGACCCATTTGACCTAATGCACCAATACTATGCGCTTCATCCAAATAAAGATAAGCATTATATTTCTTCTTTAAAGCAATTACTTCAGGAAGATGAAGAATACTTCCTTCCATACTGTGTGAATATAAACGCAAAATCAAAAAAATATATATAAATTAACTTAATCTTATTTGGATAAGCATTGAAATCAGTGTTCAAGGTAATCATCATATTAAAATAGTACCATAGAGGAATACAAGATCGACACTGATTAAGTATTCTTTCAATAACAGGAATTTATAAAGCGAAATGGTATGGACTTTATGTAAATTGTTGAATTTTATGGCTTGCACCATGAATGAACCTTAATCAAACTACCATTGAAGACTATAAAGCACTTCAAAGCTGTCTTTTTTCTGATTTTAAGACTGCAAAAGAATACATCCGTGACGTCACCGGGCCTTTCAGGTCTCATGATGACCGCTTAACCTTTAGACTACCAAATCACCATCAAATGATTTATATTTCTAACTTTATAGTTTTCAATCAGTTCGTAATTTAAACTGTAAAATTCCTTCACACTTGTGGTAACTTGCAGATAACAAAGTTAATTTATTACTCACTAAGACTACATTGTTATTAGCCATAGAGATAATACTATACATTCTTATTCTCATCAGTTAAACAGGAAGTACATTCCGATATATGAAAATCGTCACATTAAAAAAAGTATCGTCAATATTCCTTGATATTCATTTATCCAGTAATAATCTGGATATTGCATTTCTGAATACTTGCTTTTATCCATTTATTTTTCAAGTAATTCAAATGTATTGAAAAATCTTGTGTATGATGATTGTTTTAATCAATACAAGTTCACATTAATTTTAATCGAATAAAACACCTGTTAGTTTTATTTATAAAAATACCAATAGCTTTTCGAAAACTCATGTAAAATGGATGAATTAACTAAAGATCAGAAATCGTTTGTGTGCATATTTCATTGCTATAATGTAGTTTTAAACAATTATTTAAGCAGCGTAGCTTACAACTTGAATCTCCTTGGTAAGTATACCATTTTTGTATTCGTATGAGCTATGAAAACTTTGATCTCTGAACACTTAATTTAGATTAAGTGAAGTAAACTCTAAAGATACATGATATTGCGTAGGTTGTAGTAATAAACTATCGTACAATCATCAGTTCTGCTTAGTCGTTATATTAGACTAAAATATTTGAAGTAAATAATATAAATTGCGTAATTGTCTCATAGGTAATATGATTCATGAGGAACAAATATTTATTTATGAGATTATGATTTATTATGAAACTTTAGGTTATAAGAAAATCCTAGGAAATAGTACGATGTTTATGTACGATGAGTGAAGGAAGTGAAGGAATTTTTGTGAATTTTCTTGAATTATGTTTGAATAAACATCACTCTGAACAACTTTGGCAATTTCCTGAATGATTTTAAGGTCAATAATCCAGTCAGAAAAAAAAAAAACAAGTTGATTAACGGTGAAGATGCTTTAAAGAATCTTTTAGTGATTCACTATAACAGTAATGTGATATATTTACTGGAAAAACTGAGCGCTGAATAACAAGTTGACCATGTATTGTTGTGATTTCACTGTAAGTTTAATAGACAAGATTAAACATGAATATAGCTCATCAATCGTACAAATCTACATGTATCATAATATGGTTCACATATTTTTCTAGACAAAAGATGTCACTTTTCCAAAGTGTGGTTTGAATATATGGTCTTATTGATAGTTCATTTTAGAAAAAAAAGACATGTAAGTCGAGGCGTTCTGTAATGACAGAGACGTTGACCTGAGTATAAATCGTCATGTTCATGAAGAAGCTTTATTTTACATTTGTGACATCTAACCATTAGATGATTATCACGTCATGTTAGTCCATTTCGAAGTCTCATTGTTTGCACAGAGTTGTTTGATAATCAATCAGAACACCAGATAAGCAATACTGAAGTTGAATAAGGATAAATAATCTCATAATGTATCTCTCATTAATTGAAGATATTTTATATAAACAAGTCCGATAGAATATAGATCAAGCACGACTATCTGATGATACTGATAAGGTCTACATCTACAAACATTAAAAATTTCCAACTATTTCTAATGGGATATTTACAAAACAAATGAAGCTCAGCGTAAAATTACTTCGGAAACAAATGAACCATATAGAATGCAGAGAACTACAAAGATTATTCTCAAATATTTTGGTAGAAGAATGACAAATGGATTGATTACTTGAAATATACTCAAATAGTTGTAAATATTTTAAGCTCATCTGATAAATAAACAAGGGATGAGACAGAAACAAGAAGATGGTTTTTTGAAGTCAAAGAACAAACCTAAGTACTGGTTTATTAAGTAATTTTTAGTAATATGATCATGTCATGAAATCAAGAACTTTCAAGATGATGGTAATCGTGGTAACAATCACTAGCAAAACCGTTGTAACAATTGATATCATTTTAAAGGAAGTTAAGTGATGATAACATTATAAAATTACTAGACTGAAAACTTTCCACAAAAATGAAATACATTAAAGCTAGAAACAGATTTATTAAACTGTATGTAAATCAATTAAGAACCTGTAATGAAATACGTTTATAAGATACCGAGTCAATAAGTTTCCGAAAAAAAAACTTTTCAAATACTTTGCCATGCCATTGAAGTAAAATTGAAATTTACTTAAATTAGGATCTAATAATTCATCTTAGAAGTTTGATTTCTTAGAAAACATATCGTTTAATCTAGAAACATTGAAATCAAGGTCGCTTTGCAAGTTTTAGGAATCGGTAGTTGGAATATAAACAAAAAAACCCGTTAAACTTTGTCCAATAACTGCTAATTGTTCACCAACCATACCACGTAAATTCTGAATTATGAGACTTTTGTTACTAGAAGCTATTTATTAGTCTGACTTGGTATTTTTAACTCTTTTAAAATGCATCCAAAAAGTTTCGTTCACTTATTTACTCAGAAATAAATATAGAAGCTGCAGCGATTTGATCCAGCCATTCTAGTTTTTGTAATATCATTTATATTGTCAGAGGAAAAGTTATTGATATTCTTTGTAATTTTTTATACTGTTTGTTTATTTGCTCTCAACTCTTTCAATCCTCTGCTTTCTTAATTGTGTACTTAAACTTAATTTTACGTAAAAATTATTTTCTGAAGTTTGACGTACTTACGACTTTAAGATGCTTTGGTTCATACTATCATGCTTTCTGTCATTCGAGTGATAAATATCACACCTACGATTACAATATAAAACTAATTGCGTAATCTACTTCGTTAGTAGTATATATGTCACTGCTAATTTCTCATCAAGACAACAACCATTAACAATTAGAGACATTTAGTTACACTTGAAAATCAACTATGTTATTGCAAACAATCTGATTTTTTAATTCCTTTAAATAGATTAAACATACTATAATGCCTTAATGTATTTTTAATATTTTATACCTAATAATTGATTAAATTTATGCCTGAAAATTATAAAATACAGTGGTATGAAATGATCTAAAATTGTCTTAGGTTGAATTTCTAATCGGCCTGTCAGAGGCTAGATTAAATAATAATAATACAACAGTCATTAGATGGGTTTTCGTATGAAATCGATTAGCCTAATCAACAAATATTATTGAAATTCTTCATAATCAAGAAATTCAATGTGCAGAAATTGTTCATTCGCATGAATTGCTAGACCAGTTATATAACAACTTGTGATGAAAATAATGCTCAAATTAGCCATGCAATGTTTTAATTCACCTTACTTCAGGATGTATGCTTTAAATGTATTGACACATTTTTAACTAATGGTAAATATCTGCATAACAAAAATCATAATACAATACAAGTACAGATTCGTAAAGTAGGATATAAGTCAAATTTACTGTGGTCAGGTTAAAAATACTATTCAGACAAAAATAAATAAATTTGTCACGTGCGATCATGAGAAAAGTATAAAGAGAATCATTAAATAACAGTTAGAAATAAAAGTGGACTTGCATTTCAATGGGAAATAAACTAAAAATAACATTTGTGTTTCAGGGCTAATGCTTTTACAACTAACGACTAATGATTTTAGATACCGGTTTTAATTCAAACGTTCACATTAATTAAAGGTACACATAACAATTGTATTTTCACTATAATTTCTGTTTAGTTAGACGTAGTTGTAAAATATCTCCAAATCATCAAATAAAAAGAGATTGGTTTAAATAAACAATTAATTGTTCTATGCATATATCGATCTGTCTGTTAGTGAAATCGAGTAACTTTGAAAATATAAGCCTAATTTATTTTTTTAATGTATGTATTTTTGGCACAGTTCAAGACAAAAACAAATTAAATACAAACATTTACCTGTATATGCCTTCAACTACAACTAAGATCTTTTTATATGGTCTGTGAGTGCGTGGACGACCATAAACAACAGAATCTTGTAGAACTCGTTCCAAATCTTCCATATCATTATGCTTAAAACGACGTACAGTTGCTCCCGTCAACCGACATCCCAAAACTAAACTTGTATGATTTAGTTCATCACTGACTACACAACAATCCTAGAACAGTCAATAGATAAGAACAAGTTTTTTTTAAAAAAAAGACATAAATTCAAAATTAAACACAAGTTAATGAATTGATGTGTTTAAGGCAGCTAGACAATTCACATTTTATTAACTAATACTTTGAGTCAGTATAGTATAAACGCAATTTTCTGGTAACTGAGAAACATCCCATATTCCAAAGAAGTGGCGAAACTAACTAAACAGGATTTGGGATAGTAATATAAGTTTGGCTCTGTATAGCAAGCCCTAACTTAAAATCCTCAAGGCGAAATGAAAAGATTAAGACTAAATAACATAATGAACCAGGAATTGGAGGCATATATCAAAACAATTATTAGACCTTGACAACAGTTAGAAAGCCGAACCCAGGACAGAGTAGGTTGGAGATGAGGGGTTGGGGGCCTATGTTCCATGAAGAGTAACAGGTGTAACTAATCGATCGATCGACCTACTTCAATTAATCCAAAGTGTACCAACTATCAGATAAATGGATAATTGGAAATGTTGCTTTAGTTATTAATTAATTACTAATAATCACTGAAGAAGCTTGTAACAAAGACAGACTGCAATAGTGTTAATGTATGATAAAAATCATTCGCTTATGAAGCAAATAAATTAAAGCTAGAAATATATATCCAACGCAATTGATATTAGAATTACCTTATCAATTTTATCTTAGATTATCAAAAATTTATATATGATGAATTATGATTTCTTCACATGCATAAACAATGTAAGTTGGAGTAATGATAAGAACGAATAACTTAATGGTGTTCATTACTTACAAAATAACTGGGCTAACTAACCTTCTAAATATCAAAATGAGTATAGTAAAGTTTTATAACCTGTCAAGAGTCTGTTCCTTACTTTACTTTAATTACTCAGAATCCACCTGATAAGTGTTTAGAATTTCGATAGTTTACACATAGTTAACATTGAAGTTTTTTTTTCAATGTCTAAATGAACATACAAAGTTAACTAATTATTTTCTATATTAGTTATATTCAACTTCACATTTTAAATAGATAAAGTAGAATTAAAAATTAAAGCTTTGAAAGAAGAATGCAGATCAATGAATTAAGTCATATTATTCTGTAATTTGTAGTACAGTTTATATACATGTTTACACATAGACAAGTAAAATAATATCAACCATTTCAAGTTTATTGACTTGTTTTTTTCTTTTTTAATCATTAAAAACCAATCAGTAATTCAACTGAGTAGAAAGGGTTAAGGATTAGTGAGTGAACTTAAACTAGAAAAAAAATATTTCCATTTAATGTAACAGAAAGTACTACTAAAGTAATGTCCATTTGTGCACAAATTCATTCATAGACAAAAAATAATGAACGTACTAAATGACACATAAGTACATGTTGGCAAGTGCCATTGTATTTCAATTTTTTATGATAATATGGATAATTGTTATGACAACCATCTACCTGTCTGTCACACAATTTTGTGGACGCTGAGATATCTTAGCATTTTAGCTTCGAAAATTCACCAAGGCACCGTATTTTTCTAATGTTCTTAAATTTACAATGAATGTTTTAAAAATGCATAGTGTGCATTTTACATACTCACTCAGTCGACTGAACTCAATAATTGTTTGTGTGTAGCTAACTTACTGATAATCAGCTTTAAACAAGCACGTTGACAACAACATGTTCACAGAATTGTGGTCTAATTATTAATCTTGTAAAAAAAATATTGATGGTGACCTTATCCACAAATTAAAATAAATATATACCAGTATTATATGTAAAATAGATTCGTCAGTAATCTAGTTTAAAAAGTTTTACCACATATACATATATATATATAATTCAACGGAGTTTCTATTACTTGTACTAAAACGATTAAAAATCAATATAGGGTCATACTTGTTTCACATGATAATGACTTTTTTCGACTACTATTATTCATCGCCATAATCTCTTTTGCAAACTAGTTTTGAATATGAATCGATCAGTTTTAAAATTTCAATCGACTTCTAGGTGTACACATAATATTTCTTGTGTCCACTGAATCTTATTTAGTATGAGAGGTGATGGATGGTGGCTAGCAGCGGAAAATCCTTCTTTGCTAAAATGCTTGTAACCTAACTGAGTATACACAAATGACAAAAGAGACTGATTAGTTGCAGTCCTAAACATTTAAGGTCATCATCAATCATCAACAGCAACGTAGAACTATGGTGGTTAAGTACAGCAGTTTAAGTTGCCATACCACATTAGCACAGATGTCAAGTTCAAGGTCTCTAACCATCGGTTACTCTCGCCTCAGGTATCCTAACCATGTAGTCTACATCTACCAAAATGTGTAAGTTCACTTGTCGGTGAGTTCATGGATTTATGCCATGTCCCAGGATACACGAGCACTGCTTCGAGTGCATATGTAATTGAATACCAATAACCTACGAATATCTTTTAATCTTACTAGACATGTTTCGCATCCATACAGTAGGACAGAGCGAACTACTTCGCAGTAGTAAACGGATATCTCGCCTTCGCCATAAGTGACGTAGGTTAGCAAAAGCCAATCGAAACTTCTGTATCCGTGCTGAGATTTCGTCAGTCACCAGACCATCAGCACTGATGAGACTCCCCAGATACGTAAAGCGGTCTACACGTTCGACTACTTCACTCCCTATCAGTAGTTTAGGTGCCGTCGCAAGCCAATCTTGAAACAACATTTTGCATTTCGACTGGGAGAACCACATCCTGAACATCCTTGCACTGTTGCTCAGGGTAGTCAAAATAATCTGCATTTTGTCAAGGTATTAACCGAATAGAACTGTCATCGGCATAGTCTGAGTCAACAATCGATCATACTGGTAGAAGGTCCACCCCTGAAAAAACTGACGAGGATAATATTAACTCTAAAAGCATATCAATCAACAAATTGAAAAAGAATGGTAAGAGTGGACAGCCCTGACGAACACTACTTGAATTAATGAATTCCGATGATAGTTCGCATAAGCACTCACTCGACCAGTAGTGTTTGAGTAGAGAGCTTATACAAGGTTAATGTACTTCTTTGATACACCTTTTAATGACAGACACTGCAACACGACCTCATTATCAACGGAGTCAAATGCCGCCTTCAGGTCGACAAATACCACTATTGTGGGGCTTCTGAACGTGTGTTATTGTTCTAGGACCTGCGTAGTATGAATAGATGGTCTATAAATCCACTTCCAGGACGAAAATCGTCCAAGCTTTCTCTAGTCTGCTCTTCGTGAGCTCTAGTAAGGCTTTCGAGTATTATCGATGCCAATATTTTAGATACTATATTAGTTATACTGATTTCTCTATGGCTGTCACAAGAGACCTTATGTTCTTTGTTGTAGTCTGGAACCATCAGTGATTGAAACTAGTCAGATGGGATTATGCCCAGTTACCGAATTCTACCTAAGATCTCAGTCAATTTTACTGATAAAACTGGACCATCATCCCAAAAATTTCAGGATTAAGCCTGTCAGGCCCTGCTGCTCTCAATCGCTTCAGATTTCCTACAGCTTTCTCAACTTCATCAAGACTCGGAGGACTTACATCGATTTGCCTTTTAGGTTGACTAGAGATCGTGAGAAACCGAAGTGTGGCTGAAGGCTAGTTGAGTTGATCGCTGAAGTGTTCTGCCCGTCAATCCAATCTCCTGGATTGAGGACTGATACAGCCGTCCTTTTCTGAGATAGTTTCGTTAATAGATGGGTTTCTAATACCGGTTTCCTTGATAAGGTGGAACAGTTATCTAATGTTACCTATCACCGCCGCCTTTTCTGTCTCTCTCAGTTTCGCTACCAACCACTGTTTATGATCATTGCGTAGGCCTTTTATCAGCCTGTGGTTTAGCTGACCTTGCTCTTCATCATGTTCAGTGCCAGGCAGGATGAGTTTCTGAGCGTCTATCAGTTCTGCAGATGCGACTGATCCACGGCTTATTCGTAACCTTATGGTTTAATTTACTAGCAGATATCACTGCTGTTTCCACAGCTTTTCGGATATCATTCCAAGCTGACTCCAGATGGGAATCACTTACTTGGCCGCAGCATCGTTTTTCTAATTGTTTCTGAAATATATTCCTAGCTATGTTATCCTACGGTGTCTTTCCTACGTCCAGTGTGTCGCAAACAAATACGTGCTCGCGCTGGAGCATGATCTGAATCTAAACATGTGCCCCAAAACGAGCGACAGTCCTCTATCGAACCCATCAATCGGTGGCTGATAGCGAAGTGATTTAGTTGGGTCCAACGTTGGGACGACATCGGAGTTCACTAGGCCAAAATATATTTTTCCATGTGCTTAAAGTTAGTGTTTGTTAGAAAATAGGCACTTGTCTGAGCATAGCTACAGCAGACGGTTGCCTTTGTCTCTTCTCTGGGCCTCGACACCAAAAGATCCACCCGTGTCTCTATGTTTCACTTAGTCTACCTGCTTGAGCATGAAAGTCGCCAGCCGTTATTACTATATCAGAGGAGTTCTGAAAGCTTTTGATAAAACTCAACTTTAACTTTGTCTGAACTGCAGTTAAGGGGAACGTAGACATAGACAACAAAGAGTCTACCACGAGTTTCCCTATCTTTATGAATCCCTACTGTTCCGTTTAGTCGGACAGCGCACAAGCGACTAATTACTAGAATCCAGTATACGAGAGCTAGCTCTGCTCTAAGACTCAATGCAATACCTACACCAGCGGGACCCCGGGAAGCAGCAGCAGGGCCTCCAGATACATGAAGAGTAAAATTGAGTTGCTTCTTTATCTTGACACGATGAGGTCAAATGAATGATTCTACTCTGGTCCTGTATGTGCGTTTTGGAGACGCAGCATACATCGATGGTGCGAGATTCTAGAGTCCTAGCTAAGGAAGCCTGTTGCCAGTTTGACACAATGTACGGACATTAAGAGCTCCAACATATAGTCTAGAACGGGGTTTTATGAGACAATGAATCGTGTTTCATGAACTTGAATGGTTTGGATTAGTGGCGCCAGGTGACAAAGGAATGAGAGAACGGTTGGTCATGGAGATAAAAGAGATGTTAGGGGGTGTAGGAAGGAGGACTTGATTGTGACCGATTTTTTCTCGTGTGTTTTTACGTGTATGAGGGCGGATGTCACTTCTCGGCTGCCCACACTTTTGAAGGGTGTTTCTTGAGGAACCTGAAAAGGAAGGAAGATTAGCGTTGGTCTCAGAGAGCTGGGAGCGTGACCGTAGGGCCCGAGGGGAAACTGCTTCAGGCTGGTCACGCATGTTCTTTTTATGGGAAATTTTTAGTGTTAGCTCCACTCTTGTTTAAAAGGCCTTACTGCCGGAGATGAGAATGCGTGGGGTAAGGTGAGGTGTGACATTTTTAGGGTCGACCTTTTCTAACCCCTTTCTTGCTTGTGAGAAGGTAGCATCGCTGCAGATGCTGGTTGTGTGAAGAAAGCAACTTAGTGCTGTCACGCCACTCTGCAGTCAGCAGTTCGACTTCGCCCTCAGACCTTGAGTAGCTGCTTTTAGTCTCATCGTCCTCCAATCGACCTGCCTGGCATGGTAGGACCTACAGAAACGTATATTCCAACCAATATAGCTCGATTTGGTCATCACGGTAGGCATGCTCGACCATCACGTCTAGGTAGCAGCTACGGTCGGGATACCAATACAAATAAGGATAAGTTAATTGTGCTAAGTCCCATGTTGACGACAACCAATTGACTTAGTTAACTGCCTAACTCATCATAATTTTGAATTGTTTATTGTGAATTGATACTCGATCTTGGAGTCAACATTTATCAAAATATAGGCTAAGCATCAGTCGACACTTTTATCCGATTATACTAAAAATACACCTACATTCTTACCACTAATTAGCTTCGTCCTTCATTATATATGGCAAGTGACCATGTAGGCAACCTATAGTTATACTATTAAGTATTGAAACTTATGTAAAGCTAGTCCTAAAGTTGATATCGATTAGTCATAAACTATGTAGAATCGGAGATAAATGTGCATTTAGTTAAATTACTCTAAATTAGATCAACCTTCAGGAGTAAAGATGAAAAGCAAATGAGCTGAAATTATAATAGAAATAACAATTAAAGTAGAATAACGAAAATGAATACACATCTCTGTCTCTGGGACCTATTTCAAACTATTTCACGAAAGGTATCAAATCATATATTGCAATTATATCTTTGGCATCAACTAGGAAATCTGCGACTGTTGACAATAGTTAGCCTAGCAATCAGTGGACTGATGCGAAGCAGTTGTTTGGACATTTGGACAATTTCTTCTAACTTATTCCTACGTCAGCGAGAACTGTTCGCTCGGCTAGCATTGTAAGAGTATTCGTAACACACGTACCAACAGCCTCAGCTGATAAACATTCACGACACTACCAAACATGCTTAAATCCAACAGGTGAACTAAGCTGATTCGTTACGCTGACTGCTTAGCTAGGGATCGTATAGGAGTCATATATGTGAGTTTCAGAGACAATACACAGTTGATAAATATTCAACTTAGTCGGTGTGTAACTGATTTACTTTGATGGAAATCGGATCTAATGGCATTTTCACCTGATAAATCTTCCTAGTAAGGAGTAGTCGAGGTTAAGAAAGGAAGATTTTGTACTTTAACTTATAGTCTTATTGAAATGGTCACTGTAACTTCAAACTGTCACATTTGTTGTTTGGTTTGATACAGGGCACGAATGTTACACTTTTAAAAGTTACCGTAGCGTAAAATTTCAGCAGCACAAAGATAAAATTTTGTTATCTCACTTCGTTAACATTGCTCGATCATAGGAAAGATAATTGACCTGAAAAAGAATTTGTTGTGAACATGAGTGGAAGAAATGCTGAGGTATACAAAAACGGCTTTGTTGAAATCAATATTAACTTGAACACTATTCGCAATATGTAAGATATTGGACCTCCTTGTTTTCCCAAATCACGAAAGGATACTTCTTCAACTGAGACTCGTATATAAAATTGGATTGGTGTTAGTAGTCTGGCTGACTTTGAAGCATGACTATAGAGCATAAAAGACCATTGGTTGATGTTAACAGTGTATGATTATTTGGGGATAGTACTTGATGTACTAGTCTCATAGCTTTCAGATCTAATTAGCAGTCAGAGTACATATGGGAATTAAGCCTAATATATCCGAATATTGGCAACGCGAAAACGCAAACACTAATGAATAGCTACTTAACTGTTTGTCCATAAATTAACAACACGACATGACTCACTTTATCAACTAGGCATGGCAGATTTAGGGAATTAGTTGAAAACCCCATACTGAAAACTATAGCTGCTTCCTGTCCTACAAATTCAGCGACCAAATCCTCGAGTTCTTTGTGCAATATTAAACTTCCAGCCTCCTGCCTAGAACTTGCTACACCTACACCAAATTTTCTTGCAGCTTTTTCTGTAGCATCAGTGCAAGGTCCGGTAGGATCACCGAATCCCAAATAATTATATGATCCCAAGTTTAAAACCTTCGATGTTGTTCCTGTGAAACTGATATGAACAAAATAACGTAAGAAAAAAAATTTAGGCACAAAGTGAGAGAAAGGGGGTAAATTCGTTCTGAGTTCGACAACTTAACTGGAAGAAAAAGTGATAAGCAAGATGAGTTATATGTGAATCTTTCTTATCAGCGATACTACGCAAATGAATATAGATGAGAACCTGATGGAGAAGCAATATAATATGAACTCATAAATAATATCAAGGAAACATTATGGCTTATTCACAAGGATCTGTCAATTCAGTGTATTACATACGTTTTTGTTCATAAAAAGGAGCTCAACTAAGATCATGGTTGGAATTGAGACATACAAATTCTCAGGAGTATTCAGATTACAACTTTTCAGATTATTCAGTGCGTCAAACTCTTCATAAATAAATACCTCTATGCTCACACACTTCATTCTCAAATAAGAGACAAAATGTCATCAAAATCCTCCGTAAATCTTCATCAAGTAAAAAATAATTATGTATGAAATAAAAATTTATTGCATATCATCCATCTTGATTATGGCTGGCCCTAAGTAATAACTTCGTACGAGTGATACTTTCTCTCAGTAAATAGACCAGTTAAAATAGTTCGAATTGTTTTTTGGCCCATGCTCGATTGGGGGTTACAGGTGCAAGTAAGTAATTGGATCGAACACTAAATAGAGGCTCAAATAAAGCTTTCTCTATAGATTTGTTTCCACATCAAGGAACTGAATGTAATAATTTAGCTAGATAATATCTTTGCTTTGGCAGATATTATCAAAAGCCACAAAGCAATCAGAAGAGCAGTATCATCAAGAGCGTAGCAGCCCTTATTTCAGATTACCAGATAATTATGTTTAGAAATTTTAGCTTTTCTACTCTGAAGGTCCGCCACGTTACTACCAGACAAATGATACATAATAAATATCCAGAGTTTCAAGTGACTTGTTTCTCTTTTAGTAACACTTGAAAAATCCTATCGGAAGTTTTCAAAATATTATCGGGATTTTGGTGACCTTAACTATCCATAATCAATGGGACTAGGAGTTTAAGAAATTGTTGGCCTTACCTCCTATCAAAACTGAAACCTATGCTCAACATCATATATCTAAAACATGTTATTTCCTCAGAGTAAGAAATCAATTTAAACTATTGAATAAAAAACCTTTGATTTGTAATCAGCCGATCAATATCATCACAGGTATTAACCTAGTAGTCTTTTACACTCTTCAAACCTATTTTCACCCCGTATATGTCAACCTAAAATACAGAAATATAAATACGTAGACTGAACTGTAATACATTATGTTAAATTACGCTTTTGGTTTATTGACTTGAGTAAAACCTTGTTCTCAGGGCTTAGATTTACAGATATATGACCCAGTGTTTTATAACGTTTATAGATAGACTTAATTAATAGACATTCAGCAAAAAAACTCATTTGAACTTGAATTTTTATTGTTCATACTTTTGGTTGTAAGTCACTTGCATAAGCACCCGATATCTACTTAATGACAGCTTTTTGAAAATAGACTATTCCAGCTCCCACCATATTATGTGGATGACTAGGACGTTGTGTAGTGGATAAATTTAGATATTCAAGCTTACAGTTGAAAGTGAACAAGTTAACGTCTTGTTAATCTGTTAACAACCTAGTGAATTCTGATAAGGTGAGATTTTGAAAATGATATAACAAACCTTCTCAACAGTATTCAAGAAGAGGTAGAGTGATTCTATGTAAAACTTAAAATCGGGTTCCCTTCCAAATAATTCTTTTACCTAACTACAAAATGTGGTATTTTATAGGTCTTTAATGTCCTGAACGTTTAGGGAAACAAAGCTGACTAAACTGTTTGGAATAATAAATACAACTCGTAATTCGAAGTTGTGAAGCAGTACTAATCATATACTGAATAGCATGATGAAGACAGGATTTGGAGTGATAACACAAAAATGTGACTATTCAGCTTTAGGATGTCCCTAGCAACCTCTGAAACGGGGAGACGATGTTTCACTTTGCAGCTCGTGAGTTGAAATCAATTGCTTAAACAGATATTGGGTGTCATTAACACTATATGAACACAACATACCCATACAGTCATGCATAAGAAACTTAGTAGCTTTGTTATGTTAAGTGCAGTGGGAAGCCGAATGGTGTGTAATTATATAAATATTCAAGACAATTAGTCCCCTTTACAATTTTTGATAGAATAGTGAGACGTCACATTTTTCAGATAGATTACGTCTTCTCACTGTTCTGTCGAAATATAAACTTTCGATGCGCGTTTTAAAATTGTAAAATTTACTACTAAACTGAACATATTGGTACAGAATATACGAAACATAGAAGAGAGCAAAAGATTGAATTATATGAAAGTATTTGAGCAAACATAGGTTGGAAATAACAATTTTATCGGCTTACTAGAATTATGTTTAGCTACCGGTAATCAAAGGACGTGGTTCACTACCAAAATAGAAAAAGCAGCCATAATAATCCAGCTGATGGCCACAAGGTTAAGTGAGATCGGTATAAAAACTAAGCTATTTGATTAAAATTCTATGAATCTAAGTAAACAGATTTTGGAAAACGAAAATTTAAGATTTATTCAAACTGTGTATGGAAAGTGACAGTCATGGTTATTCCAAATAACTTACTTCAAAGTCCAACCACAATCTGGTGATTTACGATCCATCACAACAATTTCACTTCCAGGAGCTGAACAAATAGGTCTATTCCAACAATCTTGCACTCTTCTATATAAATTACGAGTATAAAATGCCTCGTACGAAGAATAAAGAGGCACAAATGATTTGGTGTTTGGAGGCTCTGTTACTGAGTGATTTTTTAAAACATGAATAAATCTAAGGAAATCCTGAAGTCGACCCAAGATATTTAAAATCAGAAAGCTCAGATAAGTAAGTACGGCTGTTAATAGAGGCGCTCCTTCGAAAGACTCATAGAACTCTTCCCCTGTTCGAGGACTCCGAAATTCTTTCATTTTAGTCGAAAAGGTTCCAACGAACCTGAAATAACCAAAATATCCACAATATCCGACTAAATTTACGTGAATACCCGCTCACTGTTGCCTAGCTTTTACTATACTTGATGTATTAAAACAGACGCTCTGGACCTGCTAAAGGGTGAAAATAATTGCAACGTACTCCCGTTTTTTCAGCTCAGAAACACTGTAAACTTCGTAAATCGAAATATATTGTGTATATTTCTCTGCTACTTATAAAAGAAACAGTTTTATATGTAATCATCAAACTCTACGTTGTGGTGATGAAAGTGTAATAATGTTGCGTTATGCTTGAGATATATATTATTATATAGTCATATATAACCCTACCACTAGTATTGTATGGTAAGTGACGGTGATAACTTCTAAGAACGTCAATGCTTCTAAATAGACGTGATGGAATCTACGAAACATATCAATTGTGACTATGATAAGCTAGTGCTATAAACTGATATAGATGAAATATTCGGGTTGTGGAAGAATTGAATAGAGGCAAAAAAAGTGCATACTTATCACAAATGTCAATATAAAATCAATAAGATGCTATTCTTAATTACCGTATGTTTGAGGTATGTTCTTCAAATGTTAGGCTTCCTGAGTAATGGTTAGCCAGATCGTGTATCAATATGAGAATCTGAACCCTGTATTTTTGTAATTAATAAAATTTCATGGTCATTCTTACAAAATGCATCATCCCACATTTGTTGTGGTTAGATGGTAACTGTCACGTTTTGTTCCAGATTGACAGATTATCATCGTCACTCTGAACGTATGCTACATTTTCACTCATTCCTTAAGACTTAAAGCTGTATACTATTTTGAGAGCGTCTTCTTATAGGCATTGTCCTCGAAATTCTGTGGTTTCAAATATGTCGTTTATTTACATGAGAAACTAGAGTGGGCCTAATACACTTCTCTAAATAACTCCTTCTGTTATTGGTCCTGTAGATGAAAGGTGCTACCTGTAATTTACAGTGTGCTGGCGACCATCTAGGAATGAAGCAAAGCACAAGTATAGTGAGTAACTGAAACCGAATAACTCTGGTTTCCCAAAAAAATTTGTGAGTGACCATGAGAAAACTTTCCTTTAAATCGATGGTTTTGAATTGCACAAGCAGTTCACTTTCTTATTTTTGAGTAATATCATATGCATATTCTGGTTGGTATGTGTTGCATCAGTCGGATAACATAAACCCAGCTTCCTATACGATTGAAAAAGGCAACTATCACCAGAAACTGCAGGAAATATTCGCTTTGTAACGGACAATTTACATGCTGACGTTACTTCACATGGCGATGCAAAGACTGTTCAGTAAACTAATGATTGATTACATGAAGATGAGCAACATCTTCAAAGAAGACCAACACGTATTTCGAAGACAGGTTCTGTGCATAGGAAAAACGGATAACCGGTATTTACCAAACGGTATCTGTCCATGTAATTTTGTCCGATGACTCAATCTCAGGTCTCCGCGTATTCATGGTAGTGAAGATTAAGTGCGATATTTCCCTGATCTACTTCTATCTTGTTGCCGAAGTTATCTGAGGAAAAAGGCATTCCATTAGAAGCAAAACAGGATGTAATTAAAATAGTGATTCTCAGAATCCCGATTTTCGGAGACGACTATACTAGGTCTTCTCATCTTGCAGGTATTTGTGAATGGCCTGTTCTATACAATCTGCCTGGTGGGCCTAATATGTTCAGATCACTCCAAAATCCGGAAATCCATAAGAAGCGAAACCGGTCCATTCAAATTTAAGAAAAACCTTGCAGTAATGGGGGAATGAGCAGTAAACAATGTGTCAGAACTCGATTATCCATGTAGCAGTAACAGAGCAGTCTTCCATAGAAGTCCACCAACAAAGGTCTCTCCAGAGTGAGGCTTCATATTATTAACTAAATGTGCTTGATTACAAAATCAAACTACATAAGGGATGTAGCCGATGAGAACGGAACACTTTACTTTATACGAAGACAAGATGCCAGAGCCACCACACAACTGTTACTATTTTTGAAACGTACGCTCAGCCTGACGTTCAATTCCACAATGTTGTTCGGCCTCCTCTCTTCAAAATGAAAATAATTATCGTAGATCGAGTGCAGAGACGGGCATTCATGTAGATGATCGTTTTAGGAACAACACAAACGGTCGTTATCGAATAGATCTACCAGATCTACTAGATACACATTCTGAAACTCTTCTACTGTTGTAAGATTGGCAACTTAACCCTACGTCGAGTATTGCCAACTAATTTCCTTTTATATTCACACTTTTGTCCTCGGGCACCAGTTGAACTACTAAATAGTAGATAAACTAATTTTTCGATTCGTCAAATTTTCATTTTCTCCTCAGTATTAGAATTTCTACGTTTACCGTTCTTCACGCTGCCAGTAATCGAGCTTCGTTCTGTTAGCGTGATAGCTTCTGACACCCCACTGTCCTTAGTCGATCTCATCCATTCGAGTTACACTTGCAAATCCATCAATGACTAACTAAATGACTTGAATTAGTGATGTCAAGCAGCTAGACTACCATCCACTAAACAGTTTCAGATACCTGGCCCCGCACTGAAACGGCTATATGAGGGCTCATGCAAATCAAATGATTTCTACGTTTAGGGGACGTTCAAACTCACAACCTACTGCCAACCGACTAGGATTCGAAAATTGAGCGGCTAGACATCCATTCACTGGACATTAACAAACATCTGGACCAAGCGTCAAGTGCAAATATATCAGTTAATTTATACTATCTCACGAAAAAGACATTGGATATTGGATATTGAAGAGTCTCAAGCGGCTTTTCAAATGTATGGCCTTGAGTGTCAAATTTGATAAAATGGGCACTATTGGTCGCTTAATCGAGGATATAGTACCAGTTAAAGTTAGTGGCAAGGTAGATTTTTTCTTCAATATCTTATGAAAACTTACTAGTGGAAGAAGAAGCTTTGTGCACTTGAAAGACCTGCGACGTTCATAAGTAAAATAATTATATTATAACCGTGTTTAGATTCATTAAAGTTGTACGTATTTAACGAAGATGGGACTATATGTCGATGTCAAGACGTTCATGCCTACATTCTTGGAGTAGACTCCAAGCATAATGGAGTGATAATGTTTGTATGCACATATAAATTACGTTGCATATCATTTCAACATTTTGAGGAGATGACTAAATGGGATGACGTATTAAAAGCTAATTTGAAATGTGAGTCTCGGTTCTGAGCTTTCAAATCAGGTCCATATTATCAAACTTTTACCAGTTGGTTTCTTTCACGACTTTAGAACATTACATATAACCCTAATCGCTTTACCTAATCGCACCAGCTATGTTACTTTGACTTTACTTACTGGAATAAGAAAAATCTGTGGAAAATAATACCTCCGAAAAATTAGGTCTAACTGTCTCGGTCTGATGTTTCGATTATTTAATATACACGTGTTTTCCACTTTAGTCTGCTGTACCATATTATCTATGTTTTATTTGATTGAGGGCTCCTATATTCGAAATTTCTTCCTAACTTTGTTGTCATATTTAAGTAAAAAGAACTATTAGTTCTTAAGCGCTTCGACGCTGCCGAGACTGGGGTGTATCAACTTTCTCTCGAATCGCTCTCACCTGGCCACGCGAATATACTCACTTCCAGAGGTGCCCTACGCGATGCCTTTTCGTGGGTAAATATTTCTCACGATTTTAAGTGCTCATAAACTTCTCAAACCTTTTTAACGAACATTTTGATATCAGTCCTATTCAATAAATTAAATCCGATTAATGTGTCAAGAGATGCTACATTAATAGTAGATCACCTTACAAAGTCATTTATTTTGTAGGTTATGTAAAGATATAGTTAAATAACCAACAGCCCGAACGAAACCAGCCTGCTTTTCATTGTTCATTATCTCACTTGTTTCTCAGTCCATAAAGTAATTGTTTTATCCTCAACTAGTTAAAAGATTTAGTCAGTTATCATTTGAATTAGTCTTGGTATTCTTATGTGCGTATTTTTTACGACCTAATTTGATTTTTCAACAATATTCAGTATTTGTGAAAAATACTATAGTATTTTCGAATAATAGATTCTAATTACTTGTCACCCAATAGATGTGATTATAAGAGATGCGATTTCCTTTGTAAGAATGATTGAAATCATTTAAAGCCATAGCTAATGGTTTTGGTATGATTTTTATGAGCTTTTAGTATGCAGCATAATCCCCAGTATTTTCGTGTCAGGCTGAAGTGTTGTTTTCACCAGTAATGAAGGTGAAAAGTCTCTAGTTTGCTTTGGCTTTTATCAGCAAATATGCATCCTGTAGAAAAAACCGATTTTTAAGAAAAATATATTCATCTCATCAGTAAAATACTTCTGAAGTAATCTTTTCTCTTTTTTGGTTCCTTTAGTTAACTTAGTAACACATTGTTTCTTTTGCTCCATTTAGGTTCATATTTCCATGCGGATTTAATTGTTGCTCCTAAGAACAGCATTTTATATAGTTATGCACGTCACAGGAGACATTTTCCACTCATTCAAAAGCCCAAAAACCAGACTTTATCATCTCCAAGAAAATCGTCTCCTACACTATGCAATAATTCAAGTGATGGTTATTTACATGTGACACGTGATCGTATATGTTTTACTACGGGACCGGGTTGTTCCCATCCTCGCCTTTTGGCAACATGGACTTTTGACAATGATGAAATTGTACAGTGTGGTACAGCCCGTGTTCAGAACATTGCGAAAGGAAACTTCACTGATCCTCCGTCACTTTTTTTTCTTACCGCTTTCCCTGACCACCCTGAAGCTCCTGGAAGTCACCTGTTTCTTTCTAACCGGGCAACTGATTTATGTGATATTATTGAATATACTAATCGAGCAGCAGTTTATCAAGCAGACTGGAGACGCCTAACTTGCATAGCTTCACTTATTGATTCCCCCTCTTGCTCTAACGTATGTGATTCTGACCAGATCGGTTCAATATGTGATCCTATCCGTTCTGTTACCAGTATTTTCTACTCCAGTGGGATTCAAAATGCTGCAATAATTTCTCGTGCCAAATATCCAGACAAAAATATCAATGCTGAAATTCCTATGATAGATTTGTCATCTTCGTCTAAAAAGCCGGCTCTTGAGAATGCAACACAGGTAGTGCTTTACTTTATATCGTCATAATTTTGCGTAACTCTGTTACGCCACTTATTTACTTGCACTGTATTAGCAGAAATAACGTTCTCGCTTGCTGTCAAATCAGGGTATCAGTGCGTAGTCTATTAACTTATTGTGTCTACAGTAAAGTATGTTCCCATCTTAGTTATAATTTTTTGAATACGTTTTTCATTTATATCCAGGTTTCTTAAGTTTGTCTTTCTACTTAAATTCTTTTGGTCACAAGGATTTATTGAAAAATACTATGTTCATTGATAAGGAGTAGTATCCAACAAGATTATTCACTCTGCACATTCCTGTTGATTGTTTTGTATCAGTATACTAAGATCCATGAAATAACTTAGCGTTTTCAAACCAAATAATCATGTGGAGCGGAGACTTTGAAAAATGTACAATCTTTTAGACATCTTGAGAGTTTCGAGTACGTTTAAATGATTTTTCGCTCCCGTCGTGTTAAGGATCCAAATAAATTATCTTTTGTATGATTTTCTGTTTAGCTCGACCTGAAGTGTTAAAACTCGTCCTTCCACGTGTTCACCTTTCACAATTTTATAGTTATTGACCGTAATCAATCAGTCAGCTACAACATAAAACTCCGTACATCAGTTCAGATTGCCATATTGCATGAACACGGACACACAATCGTCAGTTGAAATCCCATGGTAGTAGAGGTAGTAAAAGTATTAACAGTAATGGACAAAATTGGGGTTCGAATATGTTTTTCAAGAAATGTAATCCAGTGAGATAACTTTAGAAAGAAAAAGATAGGTGGTGAGTCATTCAAAAGATTAGAATTTGAGAGAATAAAAAGAGTGCACTCTTCTGCGCTATTGCGAACGTTTTTTAACCATCGCTTTCAAGGTCTCTAACCATCGGTTACTATCGGCTCGCGGACCCCAACTAGGCAGTCGACATTTAACAGTATGACTCAGTCCAGTTGTCAGTGACTTCATGGATTTTTACCAAGTTTTGGTTTGTTCTCCCCTATCTTCCTTCCAACTTACTCTTACACTACAAAACATGGCTCGTCGAGTCAGTCGGTGGTTGAGCATACGTAACACATCTCCTGACTAACTCAGTTGGAGTTTCAATACATCATCTATTGACTTTCCATTCTTACGTAGTCCCCGTTTCCTAACAACAGCATTGCTCACTCAATTGTCCCAAGATATACGAGCAATGCTTTGAAGACTCCGATGATTGAATACCAGTAACTTACAAATATCTTCTATTACTAATGGCAATCTCTCCCATCCATATTGTAGGTTGGAGCAAACTACTGCGCAGTACACTCGTCCTTTAGTTAGCTAACGGATATCTTGCCTACGCCGTGTGACGCAAGTTGGCAAAAGCCAATCGAGCTTTCTGTATTGGTGCTGAGATTTCGTCAGTCACCAGGCCATCAGCGCTGATGAGACTCCTGGGGTAAGTGAGGCGGTTGACACGCTCAACTGTTTCACTCTTTGTGACTAGTTTAGGTGCCGCCGCATGCCAATCTTGATGCAACATTTTGCATCTTGGGAGGGAATAACGCATCCCGACCATTTTTGCATTGTTGCTTGGGGTAGTGAGAAGACTGCATTTTGTCAGCGTCTTCAACAAATATGTTATCGGTATATTCTAAGTCGAAAAGTGAATCTCCCTGGAAAGTTCAACCCCTGAAAATTAAGACGAGAGTGTTATCTCCTAAAGTACGTCAACGATAAAGTTAAACAAGAATGAAGAAAAAGAACTGCCCTAACGAACACCACTGGAAATAATCAATTCAGATGACGTTATGTCATAAGGTCTCACTGGACCTGCTGCTTTCCCTCGCTCTAGATTTCCTTAAGCCTTTTTAACTGCGTTTAGGGCCGAACGGCTTACATCAATTCGCCATTCAGGTTGACTTGAGATCTTGGGAAACCGAATGGTGGCTGAGGACCAGTTGTATTGATCCCTAACGTGTTCTGCACATCAATCCAATCTTCTGGATTGAGAATGAGTAGTAAGCACACCCTTTACCGAGATAGTCTCGCCAATAGTTGGATTCCTAGTATCAGTTTCCCGGATAAGTATGAACAATTGTCTACTGTTAGTTGTTGCCGTTGCCTTTTCTATCGCTCTTACTTTTGCTACTCACCACTGTTCACAATCATTGAGTAGGCTTCTTATCAGCCTGTCTTTGAGCTAACTCCGTTCTTCGTCGTGTTCTAAGCCAGATGGGCTGCGTTTCCGAGCATTTATGAGATCAGTAGATGTTACTGAGATCCACTGCTTCTCCCTAACCTTATGGTTAACCTCATTAGCAGATGTCACTGCGGTTTCCACATCTTTTCGGATATCGTTCCCAGCTCTCTCACAATGGACATCACTTACATGGCTTCCTAAGTGTTTTCCTAGTGTTTCCTGAAATAAATTTTTAGCTGTGCAACCATTAAGTAGAACCTTTAGAGGTTTCTTTTTGGTGTCTTTCCTACGTCTGGTAAGTCCCAAAAAGATACGCGCTCGCACTCAAGCATGATCTGAATCTAAACGCGTGCACCAAAATGACAGACAGTATTCTATCAAGCCATGGGAAGCAACATCAGGACCTCCAGACACACGAAGAGTGAATTGAGTTGCTTCTTTATCTTGACACAGTGAGGTTAAATGAATGATTCTACTCTGGTCCTGTATGCGCGTTTTGGAGACGCAGCATACATCGGTGGTGCGAGATTCTAGAGTCCTAGCTAAGGAGGATTACGTAGAACAACTGAATCAGTGCTTTAAATACTCATTTCTTACAGAGTTTATATGATCTTTTTAAAAAATTCAGTAACTGCTATAGTACCCTCAAATGACAAAAAACTCGGATGAATGCATCTATTCATGTAACTGAACATCAGAATTGACTGAGTAGTGAAAACTTGTATCTCAAAGCTCAAACTTCGTGTTTCCTATTCCCTTTCGGGTTTATTACATTGTGGGGTAATTTCTGATCTAAAACTTGTGTTTCTTTAAACGAGCTACTCACCTTATTTTATCGCACTTCAGTCCGTGTTATTACGATAGTTAACTGGGTAACTGTATGCATGTTCATACCATACTTTAACTAAATGTTTTCTTACCTTTTCTCAATAGATAGAGATTTATTCCAATGAAAGTTCTAAAAAAGTAGAGGAGCAAACACCTGTTGATTCTCGTCTAGGTTCAGTGATTGACCGAAAAAAATGGTGAGTGTTGTTGTCTTGATTTGACATTCTGTTTCTCGAGAGGCATATATATAAATAGTCAAAGTCACTCAGCTATTTTGTGTCCATGACAAAAATTAATCAAGTTCTTCGGCTAAAGTATACTTATTGGAACCTGATTATTGTCTTTTATACATAAAATCACTGACTTGTTACTTGCTAAAAAAGTGTTTGTACTCACTAGGTGTCTATATAGAATGTTTTAGATGGATTAGAATAAATTAGTGTTGCTGAACGACAAATTGCATGTTCATTTTAGAAGGAAAGTCATTGGGAAAATAGACTAATAAATTTAAGTCATCACTATCATCAACGTAGAGCTTGATGCTGATCTGCTTAGATCGATTTGCCATATCATCTCGGCATGACAAACAGCTAGAGAAATCGAAATCATGTAGTGGCAATAATGAAAGGCAAGACTGAGCATTTAGAACATGATTAGAAAAGACAGTAGTGAAGTATGTATCAAGAGATATTGAGACTCAAGAACTATTTTAAGATATGGAATTAATACATTAAAATCATTGTGAATGACTTAGCTCCATGATGTTGAAAACCTCTAACCAGACAGACAGACAGGTATAACGCAGAACTTCGTACATAAGTACATCAGTTCAGGTTGTCATACCACGTCAGCACAGAGACGTAACTGTCAGTTCAAATCCAAGAGTGATACCGATACTAGAATTATTAGCAGCAATGGAGAAGAATAGGAACAAAGATATGATTGGAATAGTATAATTCAGTGAGATAAGTTTGGAAGGATAAAGATAGAGAATATGAGGAATCCAGAAGGTTAGAATTAAAAAGCACACAAAGAGTGGATGCACCTGCGCCATTGCGCCATGTCTTTCAAGGTCTCTAACCGGTGGTGACTTTCGTCTCGCGGACCTTAATCAGATAGCCTACATCTACCAACATGACTCAGTCCACTTGTCAGTGATTTCATGGATTTGTACCATGTTTTGGTTTGGCCGCCCCTAACTTTCTTCCAACCTACTCCTACACCACAAAACATAGCTCGTCGCTGCAGTCGGTGGTTAGGCATACATAACACATGACCCAACCACCTTAACTGATGAAGCTACACTACTTCATCTATTGATTTGCCATCTCCACCTAGAACTCGTTTCCTAACGACAGCACTGCTTATACGGTTGTCCCAGGATACAGGAGCAATGCTTTGGAGACACCGATTATCAAAGACTAGTAACCTACGAATGTCCTCTACTCTTAACGGCCATGTTTCGCATCCGTATAGTAGGACGGAGCGAACTACTGCACAGTACACTCGTCCTTTGGTTAGCAAGCGGATAACTCGCCTGCGCCATAGTTGGCGCAGGTTGGTAAAAGCCAATCAAGCCTTCTGTATACGTGCTGAGATTTCGTCAGTCACCAGACTATCAGCACTGATGAGACTCCCGGGGTAAGTGAAGCGGTCTACACGTTCGACTACTTCACTCCCCATCACTAGTTCCAGTGAAGTCGCAAGCCAATCTTAAAGCAACATTTTGTATTTCGAGGGGAAAATCGCATCCCGAACATGCTTGCATTGTTGCTGAGGGTAGTCAGAAGACTGCATTTTGTCATCGTCTACACCGAATACAACTATGTCATCGGCATATTCTAGGTCGGTAAGCGACTTTCCTGGTAGAAGGTCAACCCCTGAAAAATCTGACGAGCTTAATGTTAACTCTAAGAGGATGTCTACGACAAAGTTAAACAAGAATGGGGAAAGTGGACATCCCTGACAGACACCACTTGATGTAGAGAATTCCGATGACAGTTCTCACTCGACCTGTAGTGTTCGAGTAGAGAGCTTGTATAAGGTTAATGTACTTCTTTGTTACACCTTTCAACGACAGACACTGCCACAGAACCTCACGATCCACCGAGTCAAATGCCGCCTTAAGGTCCAGGAAAACTATTGTAGGACGTCTGAATGTGTGTCTGTGTTCCAAAACCTGTCGTATTGTTAAAATGTGGTCTATACATTCACGTCCGGGTCTGAAACCAGCCTGGTTTTCTTTAGTCTTCTCTTCACAAGCACTAGTTAGACGTCTAAGTATAATCGAGGCTAACAATTTAGAAACTATATTAGTTAGACTTATTCCCCTGTGATTGTCACAAGAAGACTTTTATCCTTTCTTATAAATTGTGACAATAAGGGTTCGGAGGATTAACGTCGACTTGCCATTCAGGATGACTGAAGATCGTGGGTAACCGAAGTGTTGCTGAAGGTCAGTTGAACTGATCCCTAAAGTGTTTTTCCAATCGATCCAGTCTCCTGGATTGAGAATGGATAATAAGACCATCCTTTTCGAGATAGTCTCACTTACACTAGGAATCCTAATACCAGTTTCCTTGATAAGTCGGTACAACTGTCTGTTGTTGTCTATCGCCGCTGCCTTTTCCATCTCTCTTGATTTTGCCACCCACCACTGTTCACGGTCGTTACGTAGGCTTTTTATAAGTCTGCGCCTAAGCTGACTACGCTCTTCATCATGTTCAGAGTCAGGTGGGATGCGTTTTCGAGCATCCATCAGTTCGGTGGATACGACTGAAATCCACGGCTTCATTTTAACCTAATGGTTTACCTTATTAGCAGAAATCACTGCTGTTTCCGCAGCATTTTTGATATCATTCCAACCTGCTTCCGGATGGGAATCACTTGCGTGGTCGCCTAACTGTTTTTCTAGTTCTTCCTGAAATATTTTCTTAGCTTGTTTATCATTAAGTAAAGCCTTAAGAGGCTTCCTTACGGTGTCTTTCCTACGTCCAGTAAGCCTCAAACAAATACGCGCTTGCACTAGTGCATGATCTGAATCTAAGCATGTGCTCCAGAACGAGCGACGGTCATCTATCGAACCCCTCCATCGGTGGCTGATGGCGATGTGATCTAGTTGAGTCCAACGTTGAGATGACTTCGAGGGTCGCCAGGTCAAAAGATGTTTTTCCTTATGCCTACAATTAGTGTTTGCTAGAAATAGTTGGTTATCTGAGCACAATTGCAACAGACGGTCGCCATTGTCTGTCCTATTAGCCGCGACACCATAAGATCCACCTAGGTGTCTTTCATTTTCACTTAGTCTACCTACTTGAGCATTGAAGTCACCAGCCATTATAACTATATCAGATTGCCTAACTTTTTGGAGGAGGTTCGAAAGCTTTCTGTAAAACTCATCTTTCATCTCGTCTGAACTGCAGTCAGTGGGGGCATAGGCAGACATGACGAAGAGTCAACGACGGGTGTCCCTATCTTTTCGAGTCCTTACTGTCCTTTGCAATCCTATACTTGCTTTTGTTTTCTCCACATAAACTAATCGTTGCCGCTGAGCTTCTTACAAGTATCGAGGAGTGTAAAAGCCTAAGAACAGATTATGATGTTTGTTTTTTAAACATAGGGTTAGTGGTTGTGATTATCAATTTTATAAATCCGAATAACGTCTAGTCTGCCAATTAGTATGAATAATAAAGAAATTATCGTTTGCTTGCGAGTACTGATATGTTCACATTTTCATTACGAACTTTTGTTGTATGTTTATTTCAAGTAACGTTGATGTTTGTTTACTCTTCTCAAATTATGTCAGGGTTTCTCTGCACCCAAGACGGCGTTTTTCTAGTCATCCTGTAGCAACAGATCAAGTCACTAATCTTAATGACATTACTGTAAGTCCTCTGTGTACATAGAATGAATCCATATTGATTAGTCGAAGTTATATTATAATCCTTATAAATATTATCATTTTTTTCATTATCTGGGGAAATAAGACATTCACTGTAACTCTTATGTCTTTCTTGGTCTTTTTTAACGTTTCTTAACTGTAACTGTTGTTTTGGTTTTGTAATTCAAAGACCAGTCACATTGTTTAGTAGGAGATATGTTGATAAGACACCGTTTAATTAGTTTTTTTACATATCTTTTAGTATTATTATTATTGAAAGAGAACTTTATGCATTCGAAAAAAATTTTTAAATTCACTTAAGCCAGTAATTAATATCAGACCGATCCAGGTTCGTTGGTCACACTAGGAAACGTAATTGAAAAACCTCATCTGTTTACCATTAAATATGCAGCAATCAACTGTAATATACGAAATTATTGTTTGTGATAATTCGATATTTTACAAGTTGGATGTAAAATGTAGGATAATGAGCACTTTTATATTCTTTGGATTCTTAGTTTCATCGCTTTAAGCTCTCCTTTCGGAGGCCAGGACATTAGCTTTAGTCCACTTATTGCGTTAAGCTGAGGTTACCAAACGTTATTAAATATTTTCACTTACCTGAACATCTACTCATTACTTGTTAAGTTTATCATATTGCTGACTGATAATTTTTTCTATTTTATTGAAGCTGAAAATTTTTTTTTCTTGAAAAGCAAATATCACTCGTAACCAGTAAATAAATGTCTGTTATTTCAATTTTGAAACTTATCATCCTTCAATGAAAGTTTAATTTGATCGATACAACTTAAACAGGGATTATTTGTTGCATTACAGACGATTTCCAGAATTAAGCCGACAATTGGAAGACCAACTGTTGTATGCTTAATCCTCTTAGATTAATTGAAGTGTGTACAGTGTTTTTTTTGGCAGTAGTTGACAAAGTTAAAGTATTTTCAGTGAAAGTTCTCGTATACCTCAAAAATAGATGTTCCCACTGTATTTACTCAAAAGCAGATGTAAAGCATTTTACGAGAATTCGCGATTTCATTATTCTTATTTCTTTTGATCATCTTTATTGTGCGAACGAATAGCTAACTTGGAATAGTTTCTATGTAATAAAAGCAACATGCAAATGTTTTTTATGAAATTTGTCAAAATATTATTTTCATGTAAATTGACTGCTCAAAATGTAGTGTTCATTTCTATATTTTGTTTATTGTTTTAGTTTATGATAACTTTTCTCGAATTCTTCATTTAATACTTTTGAATTTGATAGATCAATGCCAATCCCCAATCTTATCCATATTCTGGACATACACACTGTTCACGAAGATGTAATATCTGTCACTGGAGACGGTGAGTAAGATGTTCATTTGTAAGAAAGTCGACGTATGACATACTGATTACTTTAAGGGAAAAAACATATCTAACTGTTCAGACGATTGTGATCACATTGTTTCTTTCTACACATGCTTTATAACCATAACCTTAGGTCAACATATAATTTACTAATACATGTTTTCAGATACACGAAGAGTAAAATTGAGTTGCTTCTTTATCTTGACACGATGAGGTCAAATGAATGATTCTACTCTGGTCCTGTATGCGCGTTTTGGAGACGCAGCATACATCGATGGCGCGAGATTCTAGAGTCCTAGCTAAGGAAGCCTGTTGCCTTGTTTGACACAATGTACGGACATTAAGAGCTCCAACATATAGTCTAGAACGGGGTTTTAGGAGACGATGAATTGTGTTTCATGAACTTGAATCGTTTGGATTAGTGGCGCGAGGTGACAAAGGAATGAGAGAACTGTTGGTCATGGAGATAAAAGAGATGTTAGGGGGTGTAGGAAGGACTTGACGGTGACCGGTTTTTTCTCGTGTGTTTTCACGTGCATGAGGATTGATGTCATTTCCCGGTTGCCCACACCGTGAAAGTGAGTTTCCTTCTTTGACGGGGTGTTTTGATTGTGGAGCTTTCCTTGCTCTTCTTGATAACATTATCAGCAAAAACTTCAGATCGAATTGAAGTCGGTCATTTAATACTTTTCTTCGCTTTCTTGTACTTCAAGTGTGCTTGATTGTGTCTCCGCTCTTCTGAACAACGTTTGTGTGCAGTTGATTTTGTGAGTTCTTAGGTTTTTGCTACTATAGTTGAGAATTAGGTCTGTGTGGGCTTCACAAAATACGTCCAGCTCAGAAAACGAAAATCGACCGCAATCATCCACTTGAGCTACAAAATTTCTCCACCATCCCAATATGAACTATTGGCTTTCTTTTGTAAATTTTAATCACATATAAGCAGAAGTTGGTCAGAATCTTCTTTAATGTAATGAAAACATTCTGCTGAAAGACTAAGCTTATTCAAATGTCCAGTTTCCAGTAGAACAATTACTCCCTAAATACTATGTTATGTGTTGTTTATAATGTGTGACATGTTTGGATTTCTAGTCAGTATTTGAAGCGTATGAATGATATGATTCAATCGCAAATATATTGACTTCAATGTGTCTCAAAGTCATGAGTATGAAATATTTGGTATATTTAGTTATTTACTGTGGATTTAAACTGTGTACGTAGTGGTGTGTATTTATTCTTCTTGACATTTGCTATGAATAACACTTTATAAGATAACTGAGTGGTTCAAATGAACCCACTTATTATCTCACTTTGAATCAATCATTTTATCCAACAAATTTCACCAGCATTATCTTGTATAATGGATCCATAAAAAGTCTAGTCATTTAATATCTTTTGAACACATTGTTTAAACTTAACTACAGATGAAATATAAACCTATTAAATGCAGTCACTCAGTTACTTAAAACAACATAAAACCTGGTTTTCGTCTTCTGTACATAGATACATCATTCACCGTACATTTAGAGAATCCGAAACCACGTATACCAAAGAAACTTAACAGATAATATGGTCCTAAACTCCAGCGTTCTAAAGTCATTTACTCTTGGTTGAACTGTTTCAAGTGGTAAATATTCATGTAGCGGGGTCCGAGACAACTATATTGTTCTGTATTGTGCCTTGACCTTGAAGACATTGCTTGTGTATGTTAGGACGGCCGAGTGAACAATCCTGAAGTTGGACGTATTACACAATGTGAATATGGTAGATCGGTAAAGGATATTGTGCCAATTCACTGATTTTAGTTGTTAGGAGGAGGGTTGGGCATCCTGTAGAAAACTAACTTGCTAATAACAGCTAACTAGAAAAATAAATCAAACCATTTAAAATCTGCCCTCAGAGCTGGAAGGTACATGCAGCGTTCGCACAATATGGGAGACCGAGAGAGTCACTCAATTTGCTGCGGAAATGAAAAGCTGCAACCTGGTGGAACTTGGAATCAGTGAAACAACATTGGATACAGGCTGGGCTAAAAAGACTAGCTTCAGAAGAGATGCTGTTATTCTCTGGGCATGAAGAAACCTATGTCTCACTTACACACGGAGTTGTACTGACGCTGTCCAGAAAATTACAAAAAGCACCTATAGGATGAAAATCTTGTAGACCCAGGATCATCGAAGCATCCTTCACAAAGAAAGAAGGGGATTGGATAAGACATCGAATCATTTGATTTACTGTGATTCTTGTTTTGTTTAACATTCTTTTTAATTCAGTGTGTTGTTTGTTCAGCATAACATTTTCTCGTAATAATTTTCTGTAAAACCTATTCCCGTGTTTCCCCCATTTCAGCTACATGTGATATTGACTAATCACTAAGTGCCAGCGTAATGTATGTAGACGAGTGTATTTGGTCATTAAGTTGTTGCCATGTTTTTTGAAAATAAATAAAATCACCATCTGCTATCAGTTTTTGTTTTGTTCGCATCTTGCACATCTCTGTGTTTTCCTATTGCATGTCCAGTTTTTACGATGATTGCATTGCTCAATAATTTTCATTTTCTTATGCATCTATTGAGTGGTTTTTTTTACTACGGATGATACAATTACTACCACTTCTTTGTTTTTACGTTTCTTCATTTGTCCGCAGTGTTGTTGTAAAACAGGGGCTTGAACTGGGAATTTTTTTCTGGGTTCTAATTTGTTTTTCTTTTGACTTAGAATCTAATAGCACAAACGAAAATTTCATATTTTCATCTACAGTAAACCTTTCAATAAAATCGATTGCTATTTGTCAGTTATGATATCGACATGCTTCCCGCTCGGAATTCTTCCTTTAGGACCGAGTGTTTGTTGCATTTAACACAACTGTTATTGGGACAAGATGTCGATAAGACGGAGTTGGTCTGAAAATTGTGATGTATTTGCGCCATACATTTTGAACAATCTGGTCACACATATGCCTAGATATTGCATAAACGATTGCGTCACATCCTATTGCATTTATTGATTTACATGTTTGTGTGGACACATACATAGAGAGAGGAGTAACCGGACAATACAATCAATAGCTATGAAACATGTGTTTATTTGGCTTCAAAATCACTTAATCTCAAATGATCCGATAAAAATGGGAATTAGCGAACCATGTTCATCAATATCAAAACACAATTGAAACGGGGCATAGAATTTACATCAATACAGCTTGTAAAACATTGTATAGACTGTGTTATCGAAATTTTGGCTACTCGCGAATTCAAACTCCACTTATGTGCACAAAAACAATTCGTCGTAACCTTGAATTTGCCCTTGTAATGTTTAAGACTTTCTTTGGACTATAGTAGTGCAACTATTTCCTATTCTCTCCATACTATGTTAATTTTCTCTCCTTAATTTACAATCAACACCTTTATGTTTATTTGAACTCATATTTAATTTAATTTTCACACAAAATACCGTTTCACATATACGTGTGACCAGGTTGTTCGAAATGTACAGCATAATAGCATCATATTTTTTTAAGATCAACTCCGTCTTCTTACTCTTCTATCAAAATTTATAAGAGGGATTAATTACTTTCAACAACCATTGTTAAACATGATAATGACGTACTTGAGTTCTTACCAGATTGACGCATTTTTAGTTGTTGATCTTTTTTATTGTCTGGGTTTTGTGCTCATTAGTAAAGAAAAACAAATGCATTTAATGAAAAGTAACAATTACAGTTACAACATTTAAATCTCTGTTATTTTAGATCTGAGCCTTATTTGGTGACTTTACCTTCACAACCTCTGGATACGTTGAAGTTAGAAGAACTTCTCAATCAACCGTACTGTTCGTATTGCTTCAAAGATATGCCCTGTACTTCTGATATACTTTTATCCCACTCTTGTAATTCTCATGATTCATATGATAATACCTCTCTCAAGAAAACTTTTGATGATAAAAATATCTGCCTGGCTTGTTCAGAAAAGCAAACTAAAGATAATAATTCCAACGATACTTTTTTGTCAAACAACTGTTTACATCATAACAGCAACATGCACTCAATTACTTCGTGCAATAAAACTCAATGCAATTTAATTTCATCTGCTAAAAATGAACACCACAATAACACTATTGCTAATAATGTCATTACAGAAAAAATGGACTTCGATTTTAAGTGTAACCCCTATACACCATTTTCTATATCAGAGCAGAGTGTCTGCAAGCAGCTAACTGGTTCTCCTGGTCGTTCTAGCGCAGTTTCTGTCTCTCACTGTGTTCGACGACGTAAGCGTTTACCGAGTAGCTGGTCCGCTATTAGTCCAACAGTGACAAACAACGGAGATACGTCAGGTAATATAAGATTTGTCATCAAATTTGTTTAATATCATTATTAATGTTTTCTTTCATCAACATTAAGAAATGGTGAAAAGAAATATATTTTGGTGTTAGCTCACTCTTTTGTCTCATCTTTAGCTTACTTCGAAACGCGACTATTTCTTATAAATACACTTTTCAACGGTCAAGACTTCATATTTGGCACTATTTTGCAGTGAAATTAATAAGGTTCATATCTGACGATTATCAACCTTTGTCACGTAGACTTTACCCTCTCTTTTATTGTCATTATACTAACATGGAGAATATTTTTTCCTTCATCATACCACAAATCTTCTCTTATTTATCTATTTAAAGTAATTTGCTATTTCGTACTTGAATCTTGCTCACAACATTCTCTTATTAGCGCTCATAATGACTTTAACTCAAAGCATCTGATACTACTTAGAATCGATATGGTAAAAGCCGAATTCATATCTGTATATGATGGTCAATTGATTATTAAAAATATGCACAACGTTCGGTTAACAAACTGCTAATAAAAAAACGCCAGATATATACTTTTTTCATTATCGAGTTTACCGTTTGTTGGTTAAATCAAGCCAACATGAATATACAAACGGTAAGAGATATTATAAATTGTTACGTAGGAGAGATATCGTTTTAAATTTTTATACATTGTATCTAGTGATACTAGTTTTGCCATAAATTCAGTTTAATATTCCAAGTCACATTCGTAAAACCGTCGATTTATTCACAATCTAGCTTTTATAACGATACTTTAGAATATGATTAAATTATCAAACTTTGCATAATTTATTTCACTGAGAGATTTATCTTTTGCTTTTCAAGCGAATGTTACTCATTGTAACATTCTTCCCATCCGTAGACGTCGAACGGAATTGAATCAGTGTTTATCCAATGGGAATAGCTCACGACACGCTTATGTTTCATCTTTAACGACACCAACGGTTATCCCAGGAAGTCAATATGCTAGAACTCGAAAACATACTACGAGTACATGCGAAAGCACAACTTATTGCAAAGACTCAGGCAATTCACATAGTCTCCATTGTTCTACAACCACAAACAAACAGGATAGTATCAAGTCTTCATTAGTCTCTCTATCACCTTCTGCCACACCACTTTGGGCAGACGCACCTACATATGCTAAACCGAAAACTGGGAAACATTATGTCTCCAGAGAAGCGATTCACGCTCTCTGTATTGATCAGCAACATCGACTTTTGTCTGTTTCAGATAATGCGAACGGTTTTGGTAACTGTTCTCAGATGAATTCATCAAACAATATATCCCGTATTGGAAATCACTCAAGTGAATCTGGTAAGGAGTTTACTGTATCATACTTGTTCTATCTGGTCTTCTACTTATTTCCAATATGTAAAAGTAATTTTTAAAAATAAAATTTTGTTGTAGACCTAGTAATACATATGTACTGTTAGCATTTTCGTATACATATTTGAATTGAATAAATTTACCTATCTATATGAAGCATGTAATTATATTATCCGTATTTCAATCTATTTATTAAGCATACGGGAATATTTTCCGATAAATACTCTTAGTATTTACCGAAAATATAGAGGGCGACATTAAGTCCGGGTGCTTTAATAATGTAGCCATTGTAGACCATTATGATACTTTTGACGAAAACCGCTGATTGTCAGTTGCCAGTTCATTTCCAATCGACAGAAGTGATGTCATATTTTGCTATACCATTCAGATTTCATCAGTCAGAAAGTACAGTGTATTCATTAGGTTGCATGATAATGACACCGTACTGCATTGCATTCAATGTTTTATGATTAATAATTGTGAGCCTTACAGTTTATAGGTTTCCGAATATATTACACTTCGACTTAAACTTCACAAGTATAGTCACCATGTTTACACTGCCCTGAGTGAGTCTAATCCACCAGCCATACAAATTCACATTAATTCCTCCTCTTATGCTACTATATTTTTCAGATCACTATTTTACTGTTCAAAATTAAAAACATAAGTGGGGTATATGTCTTACTAAATTCACTTGGTACGAATTCAGTTTTACTGGATGTACACTTGACTTAAATCCTAACCACTGATTGATTTTAAAATTAAGTTTTATGCGTTAAAGGTATTACCAATGATTAACTCATGTTACCCTTTACTGATGTCTCACTGTGCACTTAATGTTTAATGTCTATCAGAAATACACTAGTTAATGAAAAAGTAGCTAATCAATTTCATATTCGTTATTTGTTTGGAGGAAGTATATTTGATTTCGTGCCATTACAAATAAAAACTAAAATAAAGCGTAGTAGTTAGAAAACTTAAAATAATAAGCTAGTCTCCTGTTGGTTTCTTTTTCAGGCATATGCCATGAGTCACTGTACTTTACATCAAATGACGTTCAAAAATTTACACTAAGAGTTTTCAACTTGTAACTGTAAGCTAGACAACAGTTTCATAAGCGTAATATCTTACCCTTTCTTTTAGGTAGCAGGTTAACAGGCCTGACAGGGGCATCTGATGGAAATGCAACTTTTCAGCATAAACAGCAGCTGTCAAACGACTCTGTTCAATATAAATCATCAGCTTTTTATCCTACAACGACAAATTTATCAGATTTTAATTTGTTGTCACAGACTACATCCAATCATGTTGTGCCGTCTCAAAGTGATAAATCATTACCAACTCTTTCTGGGTAAGTATATCACAAGTATTTTCTTAAGTTGGTCAGAAATTATTTAATAGGGTTCATCAATATAATGTGTTATGCAATGACAGTTTTTCTTAGAATAATGTTATTGTTTCTTTTATATATTTTCTCATTCATTCATATGGTTATTTTCTTCATGAAACAGTCTACAATTACAAGTTAAATTGACCAGATATCTTCGTTGTTTAGTTTCTTTGATTTGCATCTACTTCCATATGGTGATATATACTATTCAGTGTTCCTTAAGTTCCACCTTCAGGATATCTTTCTTATCCTTGAAGCTTGATATCGCACACCCACAATGAGAACTTGCTTAAATATTTGAGCTACCTGTGTTCCTAAAATCAAAATACTTCAACAAGTTACCTCCTTTCGTCTATTTTAACGCGGAAATTATAGCTGTTAATTGCATGATCTATTTAGGGTCGTATATAAAAAGTGTACGAGCTATCGTTTCACTTGTTACAAAAACGTACAATCGGAGACATCGCAGTGACTGGTAATCTGCTGAAAAAGGAATGATCGTTAATAAGAAAGATTTCAATTACTGAATTGCTTACTTCCAACTGTTAATCACTAATTGTTGTATTATACATATAATATTAATTAAAGCCATTATTATTGTTGTTATTATTATTACTAACATAGTAAATATTATCAAATTACTCTCTATGAAAACCTCAGTGTCTAAACTCAGCCTTCAATTAAAATACAAAGGCTGGTATTTGTCTGAGATTATGCACTGAATGCAACTCCTCAAATCAAAGTTTGCTTATCAATTAACAAGTATGTGTTATTAGCAATTTTGGCATTTGACGTCACTATAAAAATTTACCCAACGACCATATATAATCCGCTACAGTTTCTTTGACTTGTGTACATTGTCAGTTATTTATTGACACACGGACAATATCTCACAATATCTCACTCAAATTCAATGATTTGTGTGGTGCCTAGATATTTAGGTTTTTATTTGAACCAATAATTATGTATTTAAATAAATGAATCAAATATTTATTGTCTTACTATGAAAAAAGTAATGAACACTAATGTAGCTTCTCAAATGTATGACTCAGATAGTTACTACATCTTATCGCCCGTTCGATATTTATTTTCTTAATAAAAGGTTTCATTCTAAAGGGAAGTAGCACCAAGCTATTATACCTCGTAATTTGGGTCCAGTTAGAGCATACGATTTTTACGGATCTTAAGACAACCGTCAATTCTCTGAAATTCGACGATTGCAATTCACTCACAACACATCAACACCTTGCAGTTAACACAGAAAGGCGACTTGCAAGAAACTTGATACTCGAGAAGAGGACAAACAATACATGCGAATTCGATTTTCCTTATATATATATATATATATATATATATATATATATATATATTTACGTGAATGTTATTAACTCTCCTTTCAAAGAGATATTTATCTCTGTAAGGATTTCTAATTATATTGTATAATTATCATATTACTAAATATAACATTTCTTAATTCTGTCAAAATATTTTCCAATTTCTCTTTAGACCCTATATTAATATGTTCCCAAATACCCTTCATGGTGAATTACAACCATTGTCTGAAAAACATCAATCGATCCCTGTTTCATCTACTTCGACGCAACCTATTCAAAATTATAGTGTCAAGAATAAACAGCAAGATGTTAATCAAATAGCTAACAATATTAGTAATACCTTCGAATTACCAGTGGGTACAGACATTATCTTTGAAAATCCCGAACGTTATGTGAATTTATTAGGTTTACAGAAAAGTGGTTTCACAGTTTTAAATCACTCAGATGCAACTGTATATTATATCAATTTTTCACCAAGTAATTTTGAACGTAAATGTTTTGCGGACTCAACCTCTGCTCAATTATCAATGTGAGTCTTTGTTTTACTTCGTATTTGAGTAACAACATTTTATTCTGCTTAGTTAAAAGGTACAAGATAGATGATGAATTTTCAAGTGATAAATATATTAGAGTTTATCTCTTTCAGTGTTAAACATTTTCAAGTAACAGCTTTTGTTGACTAAAACTTTGAACCTATTGATTATGAGTAGTTAGTTCAAGAACTAAAATTAAATCCAATACAGTTTTCTCGTAAATTAGAATTGATAAACAACCACTGTTTAAGTATTCCAATATATATATATATATATATATATATATATATATATATATATATATATATATATATAAATCAGTAGAAAGTGAACTGATATACAGTGATGCGACATCATTTGTTTTAGTAAGGCTTCGACAAAACCATGTAAGTTAGCAAAATAAAAATCAATAATGGGATAATGTTTTTACTTTATTCATACCCGACCGAAGCTGCTACCTTGACGTGGTGGTCGGGCTTGCCTATCGTGATGACCCAACCGAGCTATACTGGCTGGAACACATGTTCCTGCAGGTCCTACCATGCCAGGCAGGTCGATTGGAGAACGATGAGACTAAAAGCAGCTACCCAAGGTCTGAGGGCGAAGTCGTACTGCTGACTGCAGAGGGGTGTGACAGCAGTAAGGTGTTTCCCTCGGACAACCAGCATCTGCAGCGATGCTGCCTTCTCACAAGGAAGGAAGGGTTAGAAAAGGTCGGCCCTAAAAATGTCACACCTCCCCTACCTCACGGATTTCCGTCTCCTTGGGTAAGGGTGCCCACTAAGGGCCTTTAAGAACGGAGCTAGTCCTCTAAATACCTCTCATAAAAAGGCCGTGCGTGACCGGCCTCAAGCAGTTGTCCCTTGGACTCTGCGGTCACGCACCAACACTAATCCATCTTCCTTTTCAGGTTCGTCAAGAAACAACCTTCCACGGTGTGGGCAGCCGGGAAGTGATAACCGCCCTCATACCCGCAACGGCACACGAGACAAAATTGTTCAAAATCAAATCCTTCCTACATTCCCTAATACCTCTCTTATCTCCACAACTAACTCTTCTCACATTCATTTATTACAGTGCACAGCTAATGCAAACGATGCGAGTTTGCGAAACGTCGTTCCTGGTCTCCTTAAACCCCGTTCCAAACTACATGTTGGAGCATTCAATGTACGGACATTGTGTCAAATAGGGCAACAGGCATCATTAGCTAGGACTTTAGAATCTCGTTCCATCGATGTGTGCTGCATCTCGGAAACGCGCATACAGGATCCGAGTAGCATCACTCATTTGACCTCACCATGTCAAGATAAAGAAGCAGCTCGATTTACACTTCGTGTATCCGGTAGCCCTGATGCTGCTTCTAGGGGCCTCGCCGGTGTAGGTATAGCATTGAGTCGTAGGGCAGAACAATCTCTCCTTGACTGGATCCCTGTAGATAGTCGCTTGTGCGCCGTCCGACTGAACGGGACAGTAAGGACTCGGAAAGATAGGGACACTCGCCGTTGCCTCTTCGTCATATCAGCCTACGCCCCCACTGACTGCAGCCCAGATGATGTGAAAGATGAGTTTTACAGAAAGCTTTCGGACCTCCTCCAAAAAGTTAAGCGCTCTGATATAGTTATAATGGCTGGTGACTTCAATGCACAAGTAGGTAGACTAAGTGAAAATGAAAGACACCTAGGTGGATGTTACGGTCTCGCGGCTCAAAGAACAGACAATGGCGACCGTCTGTTGCAACTGTGCTCAGATAACCAACTATTTCTAGCAAACACTAATTTTAAGCATAAGGAAAAACACCTTTTGACCTGGCGACCCCCGAAGTCGTCTCAACGTTGGACACAACTAGATCATATCGCCATCAGCCACCGGTGGAGGGGTTCGATAGAGGACTGTCGCTCGTTCTGGGGCACATGTTTAGATTCAGATCATGCCCTAGTGCGAGCACGTATTTGTTTGAGGCTTGCTGGACGTAGGAAAGACACCGTAAGGAAGCCTCTTAGGGCTTTACTTGATGATAATCAAGCTAAGAAAATATTTCAGGAGGAACTAGAAAAACAGTTGGGCGATCATGCAAGTGATTCCCATCCGGAGTCAGGTTGGAACGATATCAAGAAGGCTGTGGAAACAGCAGTGATATCTGCTAGCAAGGTAAACCATAAGGCTAGGATGAAGCCGTGGATTTCAGTCGCATCCACCGAACTGATGGATGCACGAAAACGCATCCCACCTGACTCTGAACATGATGAAGAGCGTACTCAACTTAGGCGCAGACTTATAAAAAGCCTACGTAACGACCGTGAACAGTGGTGGGTGGCGAAAGCAAAAGCGATGGAAAAGGCAGCGGCGATAGGCAACACTAGACAACTTTTCCGCCTTATCAAGGAAACCGGTATTAGGAACCCGAATGTAAGTGAGACTATCTCGGAAAAGGATGGTCTTATTATCCATTCTCAATCTAGGAGGCTGGACCGATGGGCAGAACACTTTAGGGATCAGTTCAACTGGCCTTCAGCCACACTTCGGTTGCCCACGATCTCCAGTCATCCTGAATGGCAAATCGATATAAGTCCTCCCAGTTTACATGAAGTTGAGAAAGCTATAGGAAATCTAAGGGGAGGTAGAGCGGCAGGTCCCGACAGGCTTACCCCTGAGATGTTTAAGGATGGTGGTCCAGTTTTAACGGTTAGACTGACTGAGATCCTAGGTAGAATCTGGGAAATGGACGTAATCCCATCTGACTGGTCTCAGTCGCTAATTGTCCCAATCTACAAGAAAGGACAGAAGTCCTCTTGTGACAATCACAGGGGAATAAGTTTAACTAATATAGTTTCTAAATTGTTAGCCTCGATTATACTTAGACGTCTAACTAGAGCTCGTGAAGAGCAGACTCGAGAAAACCAGGCTGGTTTTCGACCTGGACGTGGTTGTATAGACCACATCTTCACACTACGACAGGTCCTGGAACACAGACACACATTTAGACGTCCGACAATAGTCGTGTTCCTGGACCTTAAGGCGGCATTCGACTCAGTGGATCGTGAGGTTCTGTGGCAGTGTCTGTCATTGAAAGGTGTACCAAAGAAGTACATTAACCTTATACAAGCACTCTACTCGAACACCACTGGTCGGGTGAGAGCATATGGCGAACTGTCATCTGAATTCTCTACATCAAGTGGTGTCCGCCAGGGCTGTCCACTCTCTCCATTCTTGTTCAACTTTGTCGTAGACATCCTCTTAGAGTTAACATTAAGCTCGTCAGATTTTTCAGGGGTTGACCTTCTACCAGGAAAGTCGCTTACTGATCTAGAATATGCCAATGACATAGTTCTATTCGGTGAAGACGCTGACAAAATGCAGAGTCTTCTGACTACCATAAGCAACAATGCGAGCATGTTCGGGATGCGGTTTTCCCCCTCGAAATGCAAAATGTTGCTTCAAGACTGGGTTGCTTCGGCACCTGAACTAGTGATAGGGAGTGAAGTAGTCGAGCGTGTAGATCACTTCACTTATCTAGGGAGTCTCATCAGTGCTGACGGTCTGGTGACTGACGAAATCTCAGCTCGGATACAGAAGGCTCGATTGGCTTTTGCCAACCTGCGTCACTTATGGCGTAGGCGTGATATCCGTTCGCTAACCAAAGGGCGGGTGTACTGCGCAGCAGTTCGTTCCGTTCTCTTATATGGCTGTGAAACATGGCCGTTAAGAGTAGATGTTCGTAGGTTACTAGTATTCGATCATAGATGTTTAAGAAGCATTGCTCGTATATCGTGGGACAGCCGAGTAAGCAATGCTGTCGTTAGGAAACGAGTACTAGGTAAGGATGGCAGATCAATCGATGAAGTGGTGAAACTTCATCAGTTGAGGTGGTTGGGACATGTGTTACGTATGCCTAACCACCGACTGCCTCGACGAGCTATGTTTTGTGGTGTAGGAGTAGGTTGGAAGAAAGCTAGGGGCGGCCAAACCAAAACATGGCAGAAATCCATGAAGTCATTGACAAGTGGACTGAGTCATGTTGGTAGATGTAGACTACCTGGTTGGGGTCCGCGAGACGAAAGTCATCAATGGTTAGAGACCTTGAACGACATGGCTCAAAATCGTTTGCAATGGCGCAGGTGCATCCACTCTTTGAGCTCTCTCAAATCCTAATCTTCTGGATTAGCCAGCACCTATACCTTTGTCTTTCTAACCTTATCTCACTGAATTATATTTTTTGAATAATATCTTAAACCCTAGTCTTCTTTATTATAACATTAATACCTCTACCATCTTTATCACCATGGGATTTGATTTGACACTTGCGTCTCTGTGCTAATAATGTGGTATGGCAACATGAACTTATGTACATACGTACGACGTTCTACGTTGCAACTGACTGACTGACTGACTGACTTTATTCATAAACCCATTAAATAGTACATATGAAATAGATAAATGATTTTACATAAGTAAACGAATACCAGAAACCTATTTTGTATAACAGTATTTGAATCATACACAACATGTCATACAACATAATGACATGAACTAACTCAAAAGATTATTAAAAGTTTATTACCAATTAGTGATCAAAAGTTACCATCCTATAAAGTGAATCATTGGAGGTAGAAAGGATTTATGTAGTGAATCAGGTTACTTACCAACGATCACAAATTGTATTCATATCAAATGATTTCAATCAGCTCTCTTAGAAATCAATCCTTCTGATAGAAAGAAGTGCCATGGATGTGAATTCTTGTTAATGCATGTGTAACTGGTTGGTGTCCATACTAAATAAATTTAATTTGATAATGTTGTCAATAGAAATGGTTAGTTCAAGTTGGAACTCAAAAGTTTCGACTATCTTCACAAATTTTTAGCTTAGAAAAATAATTCAAATGGTGTATTTTTGTTTGATTGTACTTTTTATCAGATATTCCTGCTTTTAGGCCTTCGTTATCCTGTCGGTCTTTTAGAAAACTATATCAGTGTAAGAATTATTATGTATATGAATCCATATTTGGCGTTAATAAAATGTTTTAGAGCATATAAATTAACACAATACTTTGCTTTTTATTTGTTACCTAGTTCTGATTCCTCTCTAGCGCCACGTCTTCCAGCGTCAATACCTATTCTTTCGGGTTCTCTTCTGGAAAAACCACCGACTCCACAGAGGCTAATGATATCTACAAATAATCTTACTTGCATTAATAACTTATCTATTTCCAAAACACCACAACTACATTACGCTCATCTTACTCTATCTGACAGAGTAAATAGTTCAACAACTAATATATGTCAACAAAAAAAACTGAGTGACCAAATGACTGATGATGACAATAGTTCCGAGAATAAGATCAGTCTTCACTCGTCTCAATCCTTACAGTGTGCATTATCTTCTGATCCAAACCATTCTGAAACTAGGCTTCTGGATCATAACTGTTACCTAGTTGACAATAACTGTGATGGCTGTTCCTCACAAGGATTAAATTATGTAACTATAGATATGAGACAGACTAAAGCACTTTCTGAATTAGGGCAAGAATTGCGCATCAGTGCTGGATTAGTGTGTAACGCTGGTTATCATATACCATGGTCAGGATGTATTCTTCGTGATCAGAACTGTAATGATCTGAAAACTAGTAGTAAATCCACAGTGTTACGCAAACATTTCACGATTCCATGCAACCTCCCCAGTTATTTTGCCAGAAAAAAAGATGATGTAAGTGTGTATTTTTCATATTTTGAGTGAAATTTTTTCACAAAATACCTTTTTGCGATAAGATACAAATAGATCTTCTATTTAGAGTATCCATTTTCGAGGCGTTGTGGTTTCTAAGCTCATCTCCAGGTGAAAAGAATATGTAGGCCTAGCCAAATGTTAACAGCTAAATAGAAATAAGAGTGTTTGGAATACATGAACACACAACTCGCACATCATGAATAAATCCCGCGAAGAACAACTAAAAATTATACGAAATAAGTTATAAAACTATAATCCCTAAAAGATGTTATCCTAGATCTAAGTATTCTTTACAATTCAGTTACAAGCATACTTAAAAAACTCTGTAAAACTTCGGTCCCTTATGTTTCTTCGCGTCGCCTGTTTGCAAAAAATAATTGTATGCATTCCTTATAGTCACAAGTTCAGTGTATCGTAAGCTCTATGTACTCATCCATATTTCTATTGTCTCAAAAATCAACTGCTTGTATTAACTGATTCATCCGATACGTTGAAAGCCGACTAAATATTATAACAGCTTGTAATAATAATATTTGTATTACATTAAATTCGGATGATTACACTATCATTGGCTATGATAACAATAATCGAGTATTATATTTATTCCATAATGTAATGATACTCTGTACAGATGCGAAACATTTCTCATTTACCATAGTCATGCTTCAAATTCGCCACAGTGGAAATTTACTAATTGTGTATAATATATTTTCGGTGTTTGACTATTTTCTCAGGCAATACAGCTTGATATTATTAGCGAAATTCCTAAAATTATTTTAACAACATTTTCCACTTAGTAAACTTCACACTGTTTTATTAGTAAGGATACATAATCGATCAGTTAAACATTATAAACACAAAGCCCTGTACAAATGTGTTTTGGTCCAAGTTACCACAGAATGTAAGCATGATGAGATGAAATTGACAACAGAGATCGAAAGAAAGTATTAGCAATGACAGTAAGAAAGACTCGACATTGAGAGTATGGTTCAGAAAGACAGCGTATAAAGATATGTATGAAGTAATACTGAAGTCCAAGCTCAGAAGCAAGACAAAGAGTAAATGGAATCGAGCTATGTCACCCAAAGTCTCCAGTCACTGATTGCAGTTATCACATGAAGCTCCTCCCAACCGGGTAGTCTGATACATACGTACATAAGGTTTGCTTTCTTTTGTTTCAGACGGTTCATGCGTTAACAAACTTTTCTGAAAACTCACAAGGAAAGAAAGAAAACCGTGAAAATATTGCCTCTCTGACCAATCGAGTTTTTAAGCGTTTAATCCATTCTATTCATCTTCCACATCACAATCAAAACTGACATTATGGCAAAATGGCCTAAAGCCTGTCCAGTCCAACTGCTTCTATCTACGTATGTATCTCTTCTAGTAAGTGCTGTAATTGTTTTTATACTCTAATCAGCCAAAAAGTTGTACCAAACGACGTCTGTTTAATAAGAAGATCCATTTAATATCAATTAATAATAAACTATTTAACATGACCATTGTGTGCAGAAACATGCTATTTTTGTAACATATCATACATATGTGTATATTTCTTTATCGGCCTTTTTATATTAAAGATATTTTTGTTACCTTTCGTGCATTCATTCATATGTACATTTTCTTTATTAAACTATTTCATTTTTTAGAAGTATCAGTCGAAACTTTATTTTTTGTTCTGATTGGTTGACTACTTGCTGAAGTCAAGTTAAAACTCAGCTTAAAATTCAATGTTTCATAGTTACTCAGATTCTGTATTCGAGGGTTGGATTAACTAGAACCTAAATCAGTTCGAGGTTTAGCAATAAACTTCAGTAACTTAACTACTGACTATTGAATTCCAGAGCGATTTGGGTACCCTCAAAAAAGGTTCTCCTATAGTAATATGAAGGAGTTTACATATATCTTCAAATATAACTAATTTGCAAAATACCCACACAATTTATTATTTGACTGAATGTACTGGTATAAAATTCGCGAAATCTATGTTCGAAATGAATAATCGTAGTGTTTAAGTCATCTTTTTCTTCGGTCCTTTCATTTTGCATACGCCTTTATGATCGACCGAAAAATGCTTAACGAAAATTCGAAAGTTGATGTTCACTGATACATATATAGTATGACAACTGTTTCAAACAAGTAGGTTACGAGTATCATTCCACAATGATTTCCGATGGTCAGTGGAGAAACACATTGTCTAGAATCCTACTGTACAACCAATTCCTGAATAGGTCAACTAGACTCCCACCTTTTCATGGGGTAACATGTCTTTGGTACTATGAATGACAAATTGTTATTGAATTTGAAAAATTACGGTATTTATTGAAGGTAAACTCTTCATTAGATGTTCAAAGAACCACGTTTTTGATTGGTCTTAGAGGCAATGGGATAGATAGTAAATTGAAAAACTCTCAAACTCAGGAAAATTTTATTCCTCCTTTTGATGCTCACCTTTACTAATATATACCTTTTTGATGATCGTCATTTTTCCCGCGCCGTTATTAGTGTGCTCTTTGTTTCGATACAGAAGTAGTAGTTGGACAACCCTATATAAGCTGCTTGCTGTTGTGAATTGAGTTGGATATTTTTTCATCTTGAACTATTGGGGAAACCTAATACAAAATGGTATCGATGTCAACTGGATAGACTGGACAACTAATATATGTAGCAATAATCCATCTTGCGATTGGAAAAGTGATGTATTTTAGGGAAAATATATTTGTAAAGTCCTCAGAAGAATTAATTTGTAGTTAAGTTTATTGAACCACTTATCTAATATTTAAAGATCAATAATTAAAGAATTTTGTTAAATTGATCAATTGTCACTGAATGCAAGATTACATTGAATTGATCGGTACAAGTGAAAACACAGTGAAATCTAATGAACGGAGTTCAATCAACAGCGACTTAAAACTTTGTACGTACGTACGTCAGTTCAAGTTGCCATACCACATTAGCCCAGAGATGCAATTTTCAGTTCAAATCCCATAGTATAAGTTGTGGTAAAAGTATTAGCAGTAATCGGAGAGATTAGGGTTCGAATCTAGTGAAATAAACTTAAAAAGAAAAAGATGAAGGTGATAAGGGACTCTGAAGGTTAGGATTTGACAGAACACAAAGAATGGATGCACCTGCACCATTTCAAACGGTTTTGAGCCATGTCATCCATGGTCTCTAACCATCGATTACTATCATCTCGCGAACCCCAACCAGGTAGTCGACACCTAACAACATGACTTAGTCCTGTTGTCAGTGGCTTCATGGATTTGTGCCATGTTTTGTTCTGGCCGCTCCTAGCTTTCCTTCAACCTATTCTTCAGTGAACGGAGTTCACTAGTAATAAATTATCACAACGAAACGCGTTGATAGTCAACCGTAAGAAAACGACTTTAAATGGATAAGCAAATTTCAAAATGTAATTTCTTCCTCATATTCTGTTTCAGAGGATAATATATCTCTAACACTTACTGATTATTTTTATTTTTTCCCATTCTCTTTTTGCGTTTGAAAATGTTACTTTTTTATCGGTATGTTGCCGTTAGTTTGGTGGATTTCCGCACCCATTTACAAGGTCATTGCACATGTATTTAATTGCGTGTGTTGGACACTTAGATGTATGAACTATTGGTATCCTAATGAATGATGTTATAGTTGGTTCATACTTTAGATAATCGACCATGTCTAGAAGTCACTCCTTTTGAAATAATGTACAGCTTGAAGCTAGTTGCTCGACTGAATTAAGCATCTAAATTCCCAAGTCTAGACTTCGACTAGTATTTAAACTTCCTGATTTAAAAATGGTTGGGAAAAATATAATATCAAAATATAGCAGACGTTCTTACTTAATTTATACTTCAAAATCTAGATATTGTTGTTGAACAAGTCGATTGGGAAATAGGATAGCGATATGTAATGCAATGACGACAAATAACGTGTTAATTCTGAGAAATATTTTGAATTTGAAAGTGGAATAAATGAACTCAACTTTAAACAGCATTAAAACTTATGAATAAAACTGTATTTTCAAATGGATACAAAAGATTGAAGAATATAAGTAGCATGTACAAAACTTTTTTTATATGATACAATATGATAAGTAAATAAGTACATCAAATCATATTGCACACAGAAAATAAATTAAATAGATTCATGTAGCGTATCACCAATAATCTTTCCGATCGATTACGTATTCATCCAATGTGAAAACCAATCAATTTTCGTTGTCCATGCACCAGAATAAGCTTCATTAAATTTCTGATGAAAATAGGCGAGCGCTTCTTGTTCATTATCAATTTCGACAGCTAAAGTTTTTCTTACATGTTCCAAATCACACACTGAAGTCAACTCGGGTAATCCAGAAGGTAACATCATAGCTAATAATGTTAATATGAGATTTGAATGTTTACGTAAAAGTAGATAAGCTTTGCCACATAAATCAGTGAATTCTTGAAAATATGTATTACCGTATATTCCTCCAACAGTACTATGGATGACCGATGGTGGAGTATTAGTTGCTGTCGTAATTGACCCAGCATCAGGATTACCACGTGCTATTACTGTAATAAAATCTTTTGTCAAAACAAATGGTACACGTTCACGAGTGAAACCAAATTTCTTCTTACGATTATCTAAAATATGCCCAAAATCAATGTGAAACAATCGGCCAGTTGAATCAACCATTATATTGTCTGGATGTCTATCTCGAATTCCTAAAATAAATGTAGCAACGCAGTAACCAGCACATGACATAGTAAATGTACGTATCATTCGTTCATAGGCAGAACTATCACCTAATGGTGAGTGGTTTTGCTGTCTTGCTTTTTGTTTAGAATGTTGCATTAACCATTTATATAGCTGTGATGAGTCAATTTGTAAAGCGGAACGTAAACGTTCTCCTTGTATAGACATAACTGTACGTGAATCACGTACTGCTTCAATTATTCCCATTTCATAACCTGTTGCAAAACAACCATATGATGTTAAACACATATCCATCCCTTCTTCTTTCCATATTCGGTCCATTAACTATAAAATAAACATATAAAAACACGATAAAATACATATTATTTTATTGGAAAGATAATGATAATTTACCTATTTAGCAGTTAATACCCCCCCCCAACCGTTGATCGCGATGATTGTCTGAGTCTTATTTGTTAAGGCATTCGATACAGTAAGAATTCAGCTAGTCAGATGAACAATGCAAAGGATTTACCTGGTATAGTTGAAAAATCGTGCGTAAAATATTTAATATCATCACTCGTCATCGTTTAAATCTATATTTGGCATGAATTGGTCAATCTTACGATATTATATTTGTTCACTGCAACCTAATTATCAATGACTCTTCAATTGACCCAAGTTCGTGATGAAATTACCTTTAGATTGTAAGAAACTTATCAGTATATTTGATCATTTTAACCAAATAACATTGCACTCAATGTCGCATGACTAACTAAACTATATTGCTCTAATGGTATGAATAATCTGCTGATTAATTTTGTTTTTATCATTTTCTGTATTGTAAATTAGATTATGAAACAATGACATTGTTTATGTATAACACGAAAAATGCATTGTATGTGACAATTCTTAACAAACATCGATGCAGTCAATTTTTGTCTGACCAGTAGTAAATAAATCATTATAATTCGATTAAGTATTTTATTAATTCTGTATGCAAATTCATTTGAATAAAATAATAATAAAGAGAAATTCAGCGAAGAATATTGTTTTGGATGAAATTATTCATTCAAGCTATTCTTCTTGAAATGCAGCCTCTTTTTTGATATTTAAAATCACAGATTACTTTATGTTGCAACAATCTCTTTCATCTCATGGAAAGTTTATATTATCTATCAAACAGCTATAAATACGAATGTGTACAGTTTAAGTAGTAAATGTTTTCATCCAAAAGAAAATTTTCTTCATTGAATTCTCTTTATCTTTAGTGAATGACACAAGTTTATTTCCTGATAGTTACAAGTGTATGTCTGTTTTTGTGAACGAAATTGGTCATCCGTATAGATTGTACCATTTCTCAGGAGTTATGTGTTTATTTGAGTATATATCTTGTACATTGTGTTATAAGACTGTAAAGATTATGTCAGTCTTAGTTCAGTGAAATTTCCCAAAAGCCAATTTTAATATTGATATACATTACAAAAATTAAGTACAATAAACTATGTACGCGTAACATGAGAAGAAACCTACTTTAAGTAACTGAAGTGTTAGCATATCTTGACGGAGATCATCACCATGTTTAAATATCAGTTGATAGTTCTTGTGATGAAATTCTGCAAGTCTATCAGGATTTGTCCATACAAGCCATAAGGGTCTTTTTTTAGATCGTTTAACATCACATTTTTTAATTAATAATTCGCCTAAGGTTTCACTTAAACATAATGGAGATGGTAACCATTGAAGATCACTTTGAGTTTCTGTTCGAGACACTTCCTCACGGAAAAGTTCACGTTGTTCATCTTCATTAGTTAATTCTTTTAAACGTGTACTTAAAGCTTCTAAACGATTAAGAGCAGTTACTTGACGGGAAAGTAATATTAACAGTGGTCCACAACCTCGACAAAATGCTTCTAATATTAGACTGAATCGAAGGCGTACATCTGGCAAATGAAGTTCAGAACGTAAATGCCAAAAGAAGCGTAAACCAATTTGCAGTGGATTTTTTAAAGCACGATATAAGATAAAGCGGGTTAATGGATTGTCCAAATAGGTTTCGGCTTTAAGGGCCTAAATAATAAAAGAATTTATTAGTACAAACAAATCCAGATACGAATTTAATCCTATATATATATATATATGCCCCACATAAAATAAATATTTACTGAAATGTCCAGATGACTGTAGATGAAATGTACCCAAGCTAAGAGTGTTGCAAATAGCTTCGAAACATCGATACTCAAATACAAGCTTGCAGTCTACCGAGTTAGATCTTTATTTGCGAAAAATTGAGCTATTCCTACTGCGACTGGGATTAGGATACGTTTGCACAATACAACTCTCAAACTCAGCAGACGTGTGATAATTTGAGCCGCGATATGTGTGTCAGATTCTACGTTGATTATGACAGATGAACTAAGCGGACACTGAATATCTGGATGATCTGATTCTACATACTTGATCTGTAAGTGTGCGTTTCAGACTGATACCACAATATCAACCATATAATGTGCATCAGCACTGCAATATTCAATTGTTTAACTTGACTTTCAAGCTTGACAGTGTAAATCTACTACAGTAGTATGGTCAGTGACACTACTGATTCCGGATGTCGAATACACAGAACTAATCCAAATGGTATGTCGGATAAGTGAATAATAATAGTATATAACACATCAACAGTTTTGGATAAAACCGCTCAGATGTAGACGAGTTTTAAAAATGCATGTAGTTTGGTGATGCAGGTTCCACACTAAAAAGTTATATTCATGTGATTAGCAGTATTTGTAGACCCTATGGTTTAAAACGAATAACAGCCATAAAAATGTGAATGTTTCCAACTGTTTCAAGATCATTAGCCAGGTTAAGAATCCAAAAGTGATTCGGTCTCGAACAAAGGAATCGAATGTTTATCACTAGCATTTCTTGTGAAATAAGTGCGTTCATAGTGTATGGTTAATAGACACCTTTTTATGAAAAGCAATTTTTTCAAGGAACGAAAGACAATTTACTGATTATTGATTTATACTTCAACTAGAATGAACTTAGAAACATTCATAAATTTTGCTCTATTAAAACATTGTAGTTGTTAACAGCATACAGTTCTGATTATTAAATGCTCTGATCTGGCTAAATTTGATATCCACTGATTAGTCCGTTTTCAACCAACCAATTGATCGATATGTTAAAAGATTCACTTATAAACTCTAATGGTTTTAATGGATTCCTATTGTTTGGGTTATTGAAATATAGATTATTCTATCTCAATTCTAATTTTGATTTGATAAAAGTCAAGCGAAGCATTGTTTACAAAGAATAATCGAACAATGATAATATTCTAAAACAAACATTATGCCTTACCTGAACCAACTGTAACAGGTAATCATTTAGTTCAGCATCACTAAGACTATACAAACTATTTACAGCTAATTTACGTAAATACAGGTCAGCTATTCCACTTGCTCCAACTTTTATTCCATTTGGTAAATTAATAAGATTTGAATTACTTCTTGTCAAATCGAATGCACCAAGTAGTCGCAAAGCAATGTCAACACTTAATGGTTGTGGCCATTGATGTATAAGTTTATAGAACTCTGTTAATGTATCACGACCATACCAATTAACAACTTGACATATCCATGGTAATGCTGCAGGTAAATTATTTAAACACCAATAACGACCACGCCATAAATAATCTTTTTCTTGTTCACATAATTCATATAACGGGTCACGACTAACTATTTCACGTAATCTTGACTCTAATATTTTATTTGATAAATTTGTTGTTGCTGAATTAATGGTGTTATTTTGAAGAGATTTATTCAATGCAAATTCTGATGGTATATCTTGACTATGAATTGTTAAATTATTATTTGATTCCATGAATAGACAAGTGTCTACATCACCTTCAATTTCATTTGTACAAAATGTATAATCTACTTTTCTACTCTTAACATCCTTATCATCCTCATTATTATCATCATCATTATTGCGCGATTTCATTGAATCATTGTCTGAATAGGATTGGGAAGAAGAATGAAAATTTTTATTATGATATGCATTAATATAACAATTAACTGTTGGTCGACGAATACGACCTTGGGTTGGATTATGAATTTTGATCTGCAAAAAAAAGGTTAAAGTAAGAAGAAAACTAAGTAATAAGTTACAATAATGAGCTAATTTAATTTACAATAACACTATAACTAATTTAAGTTTTATGATCGGCATGTTCGGTTCGATGCGTTTTAAAAAAAAATATCATGGACATCTGTATTACAAATCAATAGCAATTGGAAAACCTCAAGTGGTTAAGTTGACGCTGTTGACTTTTCCTGTGGCTCTCACGCTTGTTGAGATCTTTTGTTGGTATCTTGTATCACATAGTTGTCCTATGTTTCCTCTTGCAGCTATTCCCGCTGTCGTGGCTAGGTTTTCTACATATTTTCGTTTATTAGCTTCGATGCTCCTCCTCACTTGCTTGTTTGCTTCTGTGTATTCAGCTTGTGCCTTCGGTTTTTCTGCTCTCGTTCAGCTGATATTGATTACTGCCTTCTCGTTCTGCGTTTTTCGAATCTTATCCAAAATATCCACAGAGACCCATTCCTTGTGATGATATTTCTTGTGGCCCTTAACTTCGTGGCATGTTGAAGTTGTTGCTTCGTTGATCCCTTTTTAGTTGTTCTCCATCGTCGTTTGCTCTTCATAGAACAGATCGTGAAATGATTGGAACTTATTGCTGGTAGTTAGCTTAAATTCGTAGAGTTTGCCAGTACTCGGAAGAAAAACTGTATTGAAAGTTTGTGATGCTGTTCGCCCTGTTTTCTAGTGCTTTTTTAATTTCACTTCACCTTGGCTACCACTAAGTGATGATGAGGCAAAAGGCTGCCGCGTACGAAGAATGCATATTTAGAAGCTTGGTACTCAAGGTCGATCGGCAATCAACAACCACATGCACATTATCAACAAATTAGAAAAATCATAGATAACCAGAAGATCAAGAACCGAATCAAAGGGGATAACATAAAAAAAGACAGACAATGACAAGTAAAAGGTCAATAACAACGAATTATACCGACGTCAACAGGACAATCTACGAGTCAAACGTGGAAATATTCGAATACTTCACTTCCACCTGAAATTTATGCTGAAGATGTTGTTCATAAGAACAATGAAAGCTACACAACCAAAACATCCAGCTCAGAAGACGACTCCACCATAAATATAAGTGTTATTTTGTTAGATATATAAGTCTATTCTACTAACCAACTGTCTTATTTTGTGATATCAGTTTAAATGAGTGCTTCAGTGAATCATCTGGTGTTGTGAGTAGTTGTTATTCCGCCACATCGTATATTTGCATATCAGCTACCGATCAGCATTCTTTCATTTTGAAAGTCATAACCTCGTTCAGAAAATCATGAACTAACTTCAGGATAAAAAGAGATTGTTGGAATATCAATCATTTTGGATGAGTGCAAATCAGCATGGGTTCAGTTAAAAGTAGAACTTTGTAAAATACTTATCAATCAGTTGAAATCTGAACACCATTTGCCATCAAAATTCTGTCATAGGTTGGCAGTCACGACTTCCTGAAAATTCTTCGACTTCAAGTTCAAAACCTTAGATTTTAGTTTCAGGATGTTAAGCTATCAAATATGCAAAACAATTGCCACATATTAAACAACTTCACTAGAACCCACTAAGTTGGCGCCTAAAACAGTTCAGGTGCACATGTCGTTATAACTCAAATCATATGACAATGAAGAAAGAAGTTAAATTGAAAATTAATGTCTACTTATCAATCAGAGTATGACAAAGGAAAGTTTGAAAATCAGATTTCAAATATAGTTGTAGTCGATAAACAGAAAAGAAACATGATTTCCATAGAAAACTGAATCTATAAAACAAGACAAAATGAAAAGCTACTCCGGTTATTAAATCCAAATCCATGGGATTTAATTATATCTATAATCGTAACTGTTTACCACATTTGTTAATCACTATCAATTGAGTTAATGAGGTCATTGAAAGTCGAACTTGAACAGTGTTAAATAAAATAAAAACATCTATCAACGTTCATTTTCTATAACCAGATTCATATAGACATTTAAAATGTGTCATTGTTTCACCATAACAAAGCATAGAATCAATTGAGGAAGTGTGTGTATGAAAAAAAAAAGGTAATGTTATTTCACATACACATGTACAATGCTTTTTTTGTGATTTGCGTGTAATAACGAGAAAATGAAACTTCTTCTTTTTTGTTTTTTTACAGAACAAGAAATAGCTAGCAATTAATACACATACATTACATACACCGCATAGATTGTTTTTCTTCTTATAAATAAGTGTATACCATAATTCTTTGAAATTTCACAAAAAATACATGGGGTTTAAATAATTGATTTAGTGAAAATTTCTGTTTGTACATACATACATACATAAAACGCATAAATAAAAATACATACTATAAATGTCTGCTTTAACTAAAGTGTTTCTATACTGTATTAAAATTTAATATCAGATATTATTCTGTTAATTAATTGCAATTTAACGTCAGTAGTATTGACTGATTTATTTAATTCAATTTTACACATAATAAAAAGACACGCCTTTCTAGTTTGTTTTTTTTTTCAAGAAGGAGACAGTTGGATTTATTTATAATCAACTTAGTCATAGAGTTGTTTGTTGGATAAACAAGTAAAAACAGTGGATATATGAAGCATTAAAGAAGAAAAAAAAAGAAACCAGCATTTAGAATAAAATTCAACTGATCAAGTTATGTATTTTGAAGGATATTCTGAAAGATTTTCACTATATATTATAATACTGTAGAAATAATTTAGATTTATATTTATTAACTCCAAGAAACGATATTAAGATACAACACAAAAACTGATAAAAGGTTTTGAAATTTTAGCAAAGTTTTGAGAATTTACAACATTACTTTAAAGTGTTCTGCTTCGAGGAAAGAGGAAGGAAGTGAACCACGTCAGCTCAACTTGAAAGAAGCTATTCGTTGAAATATATATGTTATTATGATGTAACAAATTATCACACATTCCTACATTATTTGCTTTTTAAGTTAGTTTTATATCTACCATGAAAATCATTTATTTGCATACTTTATGGTTAAACAAAAATTATAATTACAGATAGTTAAAGGAGATACATATAAACGACTATCCTAAGCTATAAGAACATATGTTCTAATCTCGTCTAGTTTGAAAATGTCAAAAGGTATGAATTCTGAAGAATTTTGATAAATTATCGTTAAGATGACTTCAAGTTATCTAGTTTTTGTTGACAAATGTTAACCTTTTCTCTGTAACTAATAACCCAGAGGACGTTTTTACTTTCATATTTATGCCTGACCTTCCCTGTTTTTTTGACTTTTTGTTACCACTTTTAGTTTAGTAATTTTATTGTGTTCCAAACTCATGATCTGTTTGTATACATAGATAATTCCTCTACTTCCGTTTTATATTAACTGAATATTAAACTTTTTTCCGAACTTCTGCTTTATTCTTAGGTCCCATCATTTGCGGGTTTTTTGGGAAGCATTATATACGTCGATCCCCGTATATGCCAGTGTGTAACAGACTCTCTTCGTATTATAATAATCTTAATCGTCTATTATTGAGAAACATCGTAGACACAACTGATGATATAGTTTAAACTTTGCGAAAGAAAATTATTCCTGTTGACTAAACTGCCAATAAATGCATAAAATACAGTCTAATGTTGATTTCATGAAAACACTAAGTAAATAAATAACATGTAAATGGAACAGTTTTTTTTTTACCTGTACTGATAATTCAGGGTTGGGGTTACCGAGTACAGTACCACATGGATGAAGACTTTCATCTGCCGTCTGAACTAAAGACGGTGGCCATAAATTTAAAGTAATTTCATCCGAGATCATGAAACCATTGTAATCAAATAAATTGATATTACCCCAGCCATATAGGTATTCACACTAAAATAAAACGAAAAATATCAAAAGAAAATGATAGAAATGTATTTAGAATTTAATTTCATATCTCGATAGTTGACAACATACTTGATTAAATATTATTTTTAATGGAAACTAACTACAAAGAACATAAATTTCTGTATCAACACACTGAGAACTGGTACCGACAATACAATATCTATAAACCGTCTAAGCAACTATATTAAAAAGTAATGTCGAGTGTAGTAGGCTAACATCACTGAACTAATACGACCGATTTGATTGATATGAGAACAAGAACTGACTGTACTAACAACATACAAATCGATGGTAAATACAGTTAGTCTTACAAAACCTTATACCACATTGAGCTTACAGAATATTGGACGATGCTATCAGTCGGGCGTTACTGTGAAAAATAATTATTTTCCATAAGTACATTTTAAATTAATCTAGCATTACAACGTAAAATGATTTGGTAACTATTAATGATCTTTTCAAAGGCAGAATAGACTGCCCATTAATATTATTAAAACCATATAACAGCATTAATCCCCAATCTGGAGTGGAAAATTTTCCACTTCATATGTCAGTACATCGCATGACCTTATGTATGCTACTATTTAACGATAACTATCCATTCTATCTTTGTAGATCTCAAACAACTGGCTTCAATCTTTTTATACTTTACACTATTTCTATCAGTGTGTTTTTCGAAATGACACCAAACAAAATAAAGTGTGTTTTTTTTACAACAACATCAACAAACGGAAGAAATTTTTTTTAAAAACATTTTTTGTTTACTTTTGATTTTGATAGCATAAGTTATTAATTAGTGTAACTTACAAATCTCACATTTTTTCGATCGACAATTTTTTTGACTCGTATAAGAGCTACGCAAATGCGAGTAGCGATAGGTAGATCAGCTAAAAGAACATGAAAATTGAGCCATTCGCGCCATGTTAGATAGTTTCCCGGTCTTTCCTTAGTTGTCTAAAAATAACAAAGTAAACTACGTTTCCATAAAAGCCTAAATTTTTGTAAAGATAACGTTAATTGAAAATAATGAGACATAAATACCGAATAAATGGTAATGCAAACCAGTAACCAAATAGAAATAACTGCATGGGGGTTCGAATCACATTTTTAGATGAGCATTGGTCATAAAATCTAAAATAAACGGAATGCGTCGAGTTTAAACTACAACAGTCGAAATGTCTGTGTTGCTTTAATCAGCAAATTTCTAATAAACCGGTGATCCTTCAATACATGTATAAATTAGCTGTTATGAAATTTTTACAGAGTTTACGGTTAGTAAATATTTCGAGTCAGTTGAGTCATATATACATATCGAAACATAACTATACATATAGATCAAGAGAATGTTTATTTTCCCGAAATGTTAAGCTCTAAATTCGTATACGGCATATTCTGAAAAAATGTATCAAGATTACTGAAGAAGGGATTTTCATATGTCTAATTGGTTTTTGGTACACATTCGAGATCCAAAAGCCTATAGATTGAATAATGACAATACTTGAGCAAACACTACTACTCTAAAATCTCTTTATTTAATGCCAAAAGAACAAAACTTAGTAATAAAGGATTCATTTGAAAACAATTTTTATTGTTATAGAGTAGATCATTGCCAGCAATTCAAAAATATTAATTTGATGAGTGATACAGTTAATACGTTAAAATAAGACCGAATCAAATTACATTTGCTATTTGGTAAATAATTATATAATATGGCGAAATAGTAAATGCTACTAAACCAGCTAATATTCATCTCATTTTTTATCTGATCAAATCTTTTGCGAATATGTCTTTAACAATTAAAATATTATAGAGATATAAGCTATTCCGTTTTAGAGAAGTAAATCCGAATTCCAATATGGTAAAGTAAAATATACTCAATGAAGAGTACATAACTAATGGCCACTAACAAATAGAGTTGAGATGTTGTGACTAAACATAACATGAAACTATTTGCACAAACATTTCAACTGTCAACTAAAGAAAAGAAACAATAAACTAATAAAAGCACAATTTATCTAGTTTAGTTCATCATATAGTATTGGTTTGTGATAAGTTAACAAAGTCAAAACTATGTGAAAATCTCACTGCTTTAGAAGATTTTTTGAACTAATGAGCCCTAAAGGAAGGATTTAATGCATTAAGCAAATACATCAGATTTATTCGAATTGATATGCTTAGTTTATGGAGAGAGTCATTAGTTAGTATTTATTAGTATTTACACAACATCCATGTTTAAGAATAATTCCGGTCGTATTTTGATTATTATCTACTTTTGAATTTAGTTAAAACTTAAAAAAAAGATGCAAACAGTTGGTAAAAATCAATACACCTATCGTTGAATGCACTCGGTCAAGTAGAATAAAGAAATTAAGAACATGTTTTAATTCATTATGGAACGTATTTTCTTCAACAACCAACCAGCTTAAAAGTTATACGCTACGATACCCTTGTTTATAATACAGATATATCTACCTATTTCATCATTTGCAACTTCTCTGGCTTAGGAATATTTCGATAGGAGAGATTCAAATACCATTACTGTTGAATTCTTCAACATCTGAAAACTAATCACAAATATTCTCTATCAAAAAAGGTTTCAGCAATTGTCCAGCTAAGATCCGTACGTGGTTTAAACTAAGAAAATATATGAATCGTACGTAAAAGTACGTTGAAAAACAAAGGTGTGAAACAGGCACTTATTTCATTCTAAAATGTAGGAAGCCAGAAACAAAGTGGAAATAAATATTCATGACAAATGGTGAATATAAGTCACAATTATAACCAATGACTAAATCATTTTAACATAAGATTATCAAAAAGTTTTCATTACCTTCAGAAGATGTTTTAGACCATTTGGCATCTTAATCCACAGTGCAACTATTAAGAGGCTTTAGTAGTAGTTTGAAGTATTTATTCAACTTTTTATAACTAATCGGTTCTATTTACGTTATAATTAGTTAGCTGGGGGTCATTATACTATCAAAGGTAATGGATATGTCTTACTGGCATTAGCAATCGACTTTTAAATAGTTGATCCAAATCGAATGACACATAGTATGTAATGTAATTTATAAACTAGTGTGCATGAGTGTGTGCATTCAGCGACAACAAGTGGCTAATATTTATTAATCGTCATACAGTGTAAATCGTCTATCAAAAAATAACATACCTTACGATGTTACACAAAGTAAAGACGAGATCAGAAAACGTAAAAACCGAGTGAAGTAGTGGATTTATTAAAGACTGATTTATAAAAAAAATACTAATGATTGATTTAAATCAACCAATACTTCAGAGCTTAACTAATTTAATTAATTGTTTATACCATAAATACTAAGACAATATATTAATTATCAATTGTTTGCACAGAAATACCATATGATTTCGGCAAATCCAAACATTTTTATCTCTCTTCTTTTTAACAGAGCTAATTATTCATACCTTAAAAATTTATTTATAGTTCCATTTTTTTCGTTTTGTTGAAAGATGTAGCAACTTAGTACAGTGTGATTATTTCGCTAAAATAATTCACTGGGATACATTCTACAGAATTAATGCCAATAGCACTTTCGTGAGAGGAGAACGTACCAAAATGGAAAGTTACAATACAATTAAGTTATGAGGCCACTCAAAAGTCAATTCTAAGAAGCATGGCAAAGGAGAAGTGAATGACAGGAAGTAAACTTTGAAAATACACCTTCTGTATACACAATACTGTTAGTGGATAGTGCAAAAGATTAATCGTTCAAAACTTTACTATTGATTCAATAGTTTTGCAGAGCAAACAATAATTCGTTTCGTTCAATCTAGGAAAATGCTATCAAGACTATAATATATGGACATCTGATAATTTTAGAATTGGGACCTAGAAAAATTGAATGATAGTTTTTTTACAAAGTAAAAGTATGCTTTAAAACTATTGAATATATACATGATCACCTTACTTGACATTCAATTAAAAACTGGCTACCATGAAATATCCCCACTCGTACAACATAACTTCCATCTAAAGCAGCTCCACCAGATGCACTCGTATGTTGCACTACATTTAAGTTAGGATTTGATTGATGTATTGAAGAGGATGGAAAAGAAGCTGTTGATAATGAGAGAGAGGTTGTGGAAGAATAATTTGAATTTGTAATATTTTCGACAAGAAATTGTGCTGAACAAACTTGTACACTTAAAAATCCACTTAGTTCCCAAAGTGATACAATATTTTGATGTTTAGGAGTGAGTGCATATTGAGATTTTGATTTCTTTTGCCTACTTTCAACATTCCTTGAAGAACTGTCTTCAGATGAAAGAATTGTACAAGCACTACCAATATCATCAAAAGCTGGTACATCACCATCTTCGTTGAGATCAACAAAAGACTGATAATCAATAAAATTGTCTTCAATGTTATCCGTGCATTGATCATCTTCGTATTTATCGAATTTGTCATGATTTATTAAAAAATTTTCTAACTGTTGATATAAATCAACGGAATTGTTATTGTTTTCGGAGTTATTGGTATAGTTATTTGTTGTGGACTTTGAAGAGATTATCCAATTCTGATGATTATGATTCAGTTGACAAATGTGATTTTTAGTATATTCATTAAGACAATTATGCAAACTTTGTTTAATGTCATTCTTTAATATTGGACTTAAACAAGGATATTCATAATGTTCAATACATTGTTGTATATATTCATATTGAATGAGTAATTCATTCAAATCGAACAGATAAGCTTGTGAACAACAGACTTTCAATAAGTAATTTGATGCTTCTGGAAGACCATAATCTACTTTAACTTTACAATCTTGTTTAGCCAGTTCAGCTTGTGCACGCAAAATTTCATTTAAAGCATTAAATACAGTAGCCTTTTTATCCAATTCAATGACAACATGACATTTTTCCGGCGGGTCTTTACCATCTAATACCCATGCTGTGATTTTAAGATGAGTTTGCTTTTGGAGAAGAACTTTTAGTGATTGGCTTAATTCACGTTTACCAGCTGAAGTTAAATAACGGATCAAACCATCTGATCCAGTCTGATTCAGTGCATTTGTATGCATATTAGCTACGCGTAATAAACGTAAACGCGCCCATTTTACTTCCGGGTTCGTTCTACAAGCACGTACGATATCTGTATGTGGTATACCTGTGCAACTAGAATATTGAAAATAGTAGAAATAAAATTTTTCAACTATATTATACGATTTTTAACTAACCACACTTAATCAAAAAACCACATACCGTCGTTGCAGAACAGGGCTATTATTCATGTGTTGTAGGTGGATGAGAAAAAATTTCGACTTTCAAACAATTAGTTAGAATGCTTGAAATGCAGTCCAAATATTTCGGTTTAGGCAGCCGCCTAAGAATCACTAGTCGTCATAAAAAAGATGTAGCTAAAAATTTAACTTATTTGTAGTCTTTTACACAACCGTATGCTTACGAATAAATTTTCTGTAGTAGAGAACCGACTTTTTCGGTATTCTTTTCAAACTTAAAAACTCTCAAGCAGATTTTTGGTAATTGAGTTAAAAACCACCAGTTTAAAATATCAATAAGCACTTTTGCTTCTCCGGACCTGATGAAGTGTGAAAATCTTATCAATGCATTCCCACACATGCTCCAGTCAAGTATCTATTAAACAGGAACCCTATAAATTAGGAGACTAATAGGACAGCTGAATCACCCGCGGTTATTACACAATAATTCTTATCCCTTTCAATAAAATTACATTAACGACAGATATTTATCTATTGGATTTATTTTTGACTCCATAACCCTAAGTTTTTGGCTGGATTACTGAAAAAAACGTTTAGACGCTGCTTTTCCAACTTCAACTTTATCGGAGTTTTCCAACTCTATCTCTAGTTAAATGCCGAATATTAATTTCTTGTTCATGTCCCTCCCTCTATTGAATGGTAAGAGTTCAGTATCCCGAAAAATGTAACTAAATATATAGATATATTCCAACTTCTTGGAAAAAGAAAACATTTATTGACCAATGATATGTATATTCATTCATATACATTCAAGGTGACTGAATTAATAAGAAACTAATGAGATCCACAACTCCGTCAGCACTCACGGATCTCATGTTTGATATTCAAAATCGGTTAGTCACAGCAAGTAATAAACTTTCCCCACTACTGGATTTCATAATGACTTGCGATTTACTTAACTAATTAGCTGCTAAACCATACTAAATTATACTAGTAATACGTAAATTAGTAACTGTGAAAACTCTATATGTATAAAAGGAATGGCTCTTCGTATATCAGCACAACAGTTCACATCATGAATATCAGTTAATATGCATACAGTCAACTGTAGTTAAATGATTGGAGGGATTGTTGAGTTACACTGGAATTATGAATCGATCAACATTAGAAGTCAGGAGATTAAACATTCGCGCACGAGACCAAAGGTCCTATGTTTGATTTACGCTTGTGGGGTCGTAAATGCGCACTACTGGAATGAAACGGCCATCTGGTGCTACCAGTTTATCGATGGTGGTCTAACAAAAATCAGTTCATGATTCCAATGAAATTTAACTGTGATGTTGATAGCAAAAATAATGCTTGCTAACTTGAAACGTTTTTCAAATTTCATCCGAGTTAAATCATAACTGAAATTCAGTTATTTATTTTCAACTACTTATGAGTAGCCTCATTTGTTAATCATCATTCGCTTTATTCGTTAGTGAAACTTCAACTTGGTTTTGCCTACTTGATCACAGACATGCACTTCTGATTCCCTTTTAAATTAAGTCTATAATAATTTTAATAAATACATAGCTGATAAAAAAGCCTTGAAATCAGGTGGATTTATTTTACTCTCCAAATATTATTGTACTTGGTCTGAAAAAAAATGACCAGAGAAATATGTTCAACTGAGGGGTTTGCAACATCTATAGTAGGATTTCTAGCCAAACCACTTTCCCATTATTATTGCATAACTAAAAAATTTTTACTATGGAGTAAGAAGAAGCGTGTTAAATAAAGACATTACAATATTTTGAAGAATCAGGTGAAAGAAAGCCTCATAATTAACAAATATGTTAAACGATAAGAAAGCAAAAAACATTTCACTCGACATTAATTTAAATGAATAAAACTAAATAAAACCGGAGCATGGATGCTACCTGAGTCTATTTTTAACCACGACTGATGACGTCTAAACCTGCTGAGTTATACAGCTTTTAGGATACCCATCTAGAGAGCCATAATGATGCGAGCCGATAAGACTTTCCTTGGTCCCCTGGTCTCATGCTGTGACCTAAATGAATCTATGCTTGCCTCCCATTACTAGTGTCAGTAAATAATGAATAATATGGAAACTCCTAAGCTAGTCTGTATGAAACGTGACCAATGTCTTTTAAGACGGTAGAACTGTTTTCAATATGCTTGAACACACGTTCCATGGCCATAGGATTATTAATACGGTGCTTCAATCTGATATTACGAATTACTTAGAAGCAGGACCTGAACATCTTCAATACTGAGTCTATGTTTCACGACTACTTATGCAGATGCATCTTACATCCAACTTATAAGTAACTAAAACTGGAATAAGTTTCTACGGCTTTTATTTGTTTCCCTCTAATTCCTATTATAACATGCAATGATAAGGGTTATAGTATAACATTTGAGATAGTAAATAATTAATAGAAAATTTAGTTTTTACTTTTACAAAACAAAAATAATTACCTGGAGATTGCAGCATCCTGATTATTGATTTTCAATAAAGTAATCTCTCTTGCAGCTTCAGTAACACGTAAGTAAGGTAGAAGAAGAGGGATTTCATGAAGTCGAAGATTTAAATTATAAAATTCTTCTTCGTCACCAGTTTCGCGATTAACACCAATAAATATATAATCATTCTTCGACTGCAATATATCGAATAATGGTAATTTAATTGCGGAAATCCAAAGCTGCACTTTGATTTCTTCTAACGTTGATTCTGAACTCACCTAATAAATCATACACACACAATAAAATCGTTTTATATTTTTAGCTGATTTTTCGAGTGTTAGTCTGTGGAAACCTTGAAAATTCAAAGAAAGGTGGTAACTACACTATCTTTAAGTATGGTTATGCCGATCGAACATTCAGCCAAAATCATGCAAAACTGATTATATAGTATTGTTTTACCGGTTGGTGACGCTACACTACACAAAAAGGAAACAGTCAGAGGATAAACAAGGCAGCTGGGAGAAACTAATAAAATAAAAATATCAGCACACTCCATTTGCACAGAAATATGATTCCAGTTTAATCACTAGATGATTACAACTCTCGAAATCAGTCAGGTACAACGTAGAAATTCGTACGTACGTACGTAAGTACATCAGTTCATGTTGCCATACCACATTAGCACAGAGATGCCAATGTCAATCCAAACCCCACAGTGATAGATGTAGTAGAAGTATTAGCAGTAATGGAGATTGGAATTCGGAGAAAGTATCCAACAACGATTTTGGGCCATGTCATTTAAGGTCTCTAACGATCGGGTACTTTCGTTTCGCGGACCTCAACCAGGTAGCCTACATCTACCAACATGACTCAGTCCACTTGTCAGTGACTTCATGGATTTCTGCCATGTTCTGGTTTGGCCGCCCCTAGCTTTCTTCCAACCTACTCCTACATCACAAAACACAGCTCCACGAGGCAGTCGGTGGTTGGGCATTCGTAAAACATGTCCCAACCACCTTAACTGATGAAGTTTCAATACTTCATCCATTGATTTTCCATCCTTACCTAATACCCGTTTCATAATAAAAGCATTGATTACTCAGTTGTCCCAGGATAAACCAGCAATGCTTCGAAGACATCTCTCATCAAATACCAGTAACTTAAAAATGTAATTTAGACTTACAAGTCATGTTTCCTCTCCGATTACTTCTAATACCCTTACTAACTCTTCTTCTATTGGATTTGAATTGACAATTACATCTCTGTGCTGATGTGGTATGGCGACATGAACTGATGTACTTACGTACGAAGTTCTACGTTGCAACTGACTGACTACAAGCCATGTTTCGCGGACATAAAGTAGGACGGAGCGAAGTACTGCAAAGTACACTCGTCCCTCGGTGAGTAAACGGATATCTGGCCTACACGATAAGTGACGCAGTTTGGTGAAAGCCAGTACAGCCTTCTAAATCCGTGCTGAGAATCCGTTACACACGAGGCGTTGATGATCCTCTCGAGGTAAGTGAAGCGGTCAAGACGTTCAACTACTTCACTACCTATCACTAGTTCAGATACCAATGTAAGCCAATCCTAAAGCAACAATTTTGCACTTCGACGGAGAGAATCGCCACCCGAACATAAATGCATAGTTGCGTGGGGTGATCAGAGGACTTTGCATTTCGTCAGAATCTTGACCAAACAGAACTATGTTATTGGTGTATTGTAAGTCAGTAGGCGAATTAAGCTCCTTAAAAAACTTCAAATCCGGAGAAATCAAAAGATGAAAGTGTAATATCTAAAAGCATGTCTATGACGAAATTGAAAAAGAATAGAGAAATGAGACAGCCCTGCTTTGGTACACTTCTCACTAACAGACACTTCCACAAAGCATCACGATCGAGAGTCGAATAACGCCTTGAGATTGAGAAATACTACTAAATGAGTGTCTACGTTCCGGGACCTGACGAAGAATGAATATTTGGTCTATACATCCACGCCCAGGTCTGAAACCAGCCTGGTTTTCTCTAGTCTGCTCTTCACGAGCTCTAGTTAGGCGTTGAAGTATTGTCAAGGCTAGCATTTTGGACACAATATTAGTCAAACCGATTCTTCTGTGATTTTCACGAGAGAACTTTAGTCCTTTCTTATGGACCACTACAGTCAGTGATTGAGACCAGTCAGATTTTGAGCCATGTCGTTCAAGGTCTCTAATCATTGGTGACTTACGTCTCGCGGACCCCAACCTGGTAGCCAACATCTATCAATATGACTCAGTCCACTTGTCAGTGATTTCATGGGTTTAGTCATGGTGATGAAAAAGATGTTATGAGGTATAAGAGATATCTGATTGTGACTAATTTGGTCTCTCATGCTGTTACGGGTATGAGGGCGGATGTCACTTCCCCATTGCCCACACAGTGGAAGGGTGTTTCTTCAGTAACCTGAAAAGGAAGTTGGATCAGAGTTGGTCTTAGTAACTCGGGAGTGTAATCGGAGAGCTATAAGGACAACTGCTTGAGGCCGGTCACGCACACCCTTTTTAGGAAAAGTTTTAAAGTGTTAGCCCAGCTCTTCAACTGGCCTTATCGCCAGTGACGGAAATCTGTGAGGTAATGTGAGGAGTAACATTTTAGGGCCAACGTTTTCTAACACCTTCCTTCCTTATGAGAAGGCAGTATAGCTGCAGATGCTGGTTGTCCGAGGGGAACGCCTTACTGCTATCACAACCCTCTACAATCAGCAGTACGATTTCGCACTCAGACCTTGAGTAGCTGCTTTTAGTCTTACCGTTCTCCAGTCGACCTGCTTGGTATGGCAGGACCTGCAGGAACACATGTACCGGCCAATATGGTTCAGCTAGGTTATCATGATAAACAGGCCCCTCCGCCACGTCAAGGTAGCAGCTACGGTCAGAAAGTCACGGAATAAGGTTGTTTTTCAGATATATAAATCCAAATAGCTCTAGAAATGAAGCTAACTGACCCTGTAATTTAGTTAGAACCGACCTGAATATTTAGACATACCAATCAACACTATTTCATAACTTCATTTTGCTAGCCCAGTTTCCATAAAAGTTAACATGAAGAGCATTTAGAGACTACATGTAGTAGGGCTGAAGGCTTTAGTAATGGGATGATAATTTGGTGTAATTTTTTCAACCAACACAGGAATTCGAAAAAGATCCTAGTCAACAATTATTGACAACCAAGATGAATACTTAATTTTCATTGACCAAATAACTTGGTTAAGATAGTCCATATATATATATATATATATATATATATATATATATATATGGCCATCTCAGCAACTGTGAGAACTACAGAGGCATCACTCTTCTTTCAATACCAAGCGAAGTGTTCAACAGGGTATTGTTCAAAAGAATGAAGGACTTCGTAGACGCCCAACTTCGAGACCAACAGGCTGGATTTCGTAAGGATCGATGGTGTACCGACCAAATTGCTACATTACGGATCATTGTGGAACAATCAATTAAATGGAACTCACCACTCTACATTAAGCATTCGATAGCGTGGACAGGAAAACACTATGGAGGCTTCTTCAACACTACAGTGTGCCTGAGAAGATAGTCAACATCATACGGAATTCTTAGGATGGATCAAACTGCAAAATCGTGCACGGAGGTCAGCTGATAAACTCGTTCGAGGTGAAGACCGATGTCAGGCAAAGTTGTTTACTATCACCCTTTCTCTTTCTTCTGGTGATCGACTTGATTATGAAAATGTCAACGTCTGGAGGGAAGCACGGTATTCAGTGGACAGTTAGGACGCAGCTCGACGATCTGGACTTCGCAGATGACCTGGCTCTTCTATCGCACACGCAACGACAAATGCAAGAGAAGACAACCAGTGTAGCAGCAGCCTCAGCAGCAGCAGTAGGTCTCAACATACATAAAGTGAAAAGTAAGATTCTACGATACAAGACAACATGCGTCAACCAAATCACGTTTGGAGATTCTTCGGAGGACGTTGACACCTTTACATATCTTGGCAGCATCATCGACAACCAAGGTGGATCCGATGCAGATGTGAGGGAGAGGATCGGCAAAGCAAGGGCTGCATTTCTACAGTTGAAAAATATCTGGAACTCCAAACAACTTTCGACCAAAACCAAAATCAGGATTTTCAATACAAATGTGAAGACAGTTCTACTGTATGGAGCGGAAACTTGGAGAACTACAAAAGTCATCATCCAGAAGATACAAGTATTTATGAACAGTTGCCTTCGCAAAATACTTCGGATTCGTTGGCCGGACACTATCAGCAACAACTTACTGTGGGAAATAACAAACCAGATTCCAATGGAGGAGGAAATCAGGAATAAGAGCTGGAAGTGGATAGGACACACACTGCGTAAAGCGGCACACTGCGTCACAAGACAAGCCCTCAGCCGGAACCATCAAGGTTAAAGGGAAAAAGGAAGGCCAAGGAACACATTACGCCAGGAAATAGAGAAAGACATGGGAAGAATGAACAATGACTGGAAAGAACTCGGAAGGGAAGCTCAGGACAGAGTTGGTTGGAGAAAACTGGTGAGCGGCCTATGCTCCACTGGGGCTAACAGGTGTAAGTAAGTAAGTATAAGTAATGTATACATAATTACAGAGAAAACTTACTGTAAGTGGTACTATAATCCCATTAGGCAGGAGAAATTTTATAGTTATGTCTGAACCAACCAGTACGGAGAATGTCCTTTTAAGTTTAGTTGCTGGAGACATAGAGCTAAACAAACGTTTTGTATGTGAATATGAAATTGGAAAGAAAAATATAAAAGCTAAGAAAAAATGTAATTACATCCAATGTCATAAATCATATTCGTTAAATCGATTTACACACATGTACGACCCTTTAGTGCAGTTACTTAGATCAGTGAAGTAACCTATTATTTGGACGTTATTAGGTGAAGAGATGTTTCAGACCCATAGGACAATAGCCAAATACTAAATTTTGTATCTGCTGAAAACAGCTAATTAAGTCGTATGTAAAACATTTACAGAAACAATATATCCCTTACGACAAGTTGGTAAGTAATTGGTACGACTATTCTGTTCACAGTGTTGTCAAAAAATTGATACTACAGTTTTGAGTTTACTTCCGCACATACCTATAGAAATACATATAAATGACCGTACCAGAAAAGTTTATTACATTGAAATAATCAATGGAGTAAATCGCCATATGAAGCAAACTTGTGCAATCACCGAGTATAGGAAGCCGATATTGGAAAATCTCTGCATAATGAAGCAGCCAAAAATAGGTAACACGTGCAAAAATGACAACTGTTAAACGCTATTTAAAACGTAAGTCTACGGCTAATATAATACGTATCATGACGTATTTAAATCCCAGTGTTTTTTCACTAAATATTGGATATGATTCAGTTTAGACAATCGAACCACAGGAAAACTACTTTGCATAATTAAAGTACATTTTTATCCAGCTTAATTTGCAGTTACCTCAAAAAGAAAGCTTTGAGTCTCATCAAAACCCCATAGTTTATTCAACTAAACAAACAAGCTTTGCTCTAAAGCCCTTTCAAATCTTTTCACCGGACTGTGCTTTTCAAAAGACATTACGTGTTTCGATATTTGTATTGTGTCGAATAGAAGGATAGGTTCATCACCTAAAATCCTCTCACTTCTGATCATGTATAAACGGGTTGTACTAAAGGCACACAGAAATGGTCTAAATATGGTTTTCCTGTCAAAATAACTCATCCTCTGTAGCAGCTGAAGTTTTGACAGTAATTTATAAGCCATAATGGTTTGAAAATGGCTAAAAATGACTTCACACAACGACTTATATTCCTGAAGTATGATATACACTCACCAACATGAATCTGGACGAAGCAGAATGGATCCTAATATGTTCAAAGTAAAGAACATAATAATGTCATTGTGAACGGCTATTTATAACAAATGACAGAGATAGATGTTGGACAGTCAGTCAGTCAGTCAGATGCAACGTAGAACTTTGTACATAAGTACATCAATTCATGTTGCCATACCACATCAGCACAGAGAATTAATCGTCAATTCAAATCCAATAGTAGAAGAGGTAGTAAGGGAATTAGAAATAATCGGAGAGGTTAGGATTAGAAGATACTATTCAGGAAGTATGATTCAGTGAGATAAGTTTAGAGAGTCGAAACTAGAGGGGTTGAAGAATCCAGAAGATTAGCATTTGAGAGAACACAGAGAATAAATGCACCGGCGCCATTGCGAACGATTTTGAGCCATGTCATTCAAGATCTCTAACCATCGATTATTATCATCTCGCGGACCCCAACCAGGTAGTCGAAAATTACCGACATGGCTCAGTCCACTCGTCAATGACTTCATGGATTTCTGCCATGTTTTGGTTTGGCCGCCCATAACTTTCTTCCAACCTATTCCTACACTACAAAACAAGGTTCGACGAGGCAGTCGGTGGTTGGGCATATGTGACGCAGGTTCGCAAAAGCCAATCGAGCCTTCTGTGTCCGAGCTGAAATTTCGTCAGTCACCAGGCCATCGGCACTGATGAGACTCCCAAGATAAGTGAAGCGGTCTACACGCTCGACTACTTCACTCCCTATCACTAGTTCAGGTGCCGATGCAACCCAATCTTGAAGCAACATTTTGCATTTCGAGGGGGGAAACCGCATCCCGATGTCTGTGTAAGTATTCTCTCACCGTTGACTTAAGCGATCATGCTGTCTTGTCGTCCACATTTCGGAATTGTAACATAGTGTATTGTCGGTTCCAACTTCACAGAAGTGTGTGGCGAAAACGGGCCGGTTATTAAATACTAACTTACCTATAAAAGAGACATGGTTTATATTTAGGACTATTGAAAAGGACTATTCGAATGACTATTCTAAACTCAATGGAAGGAAACGATCTCTTAGCCTGGGAAAAACACGGTTTTAAGAAAGGCCTTTCATGCTCCATGAGTTTCCCTATTGCTAAAGAAGATTGGACTGCAGCTAAGGATAACGATATTCCAGTAAATGTGATTTTCAACGATCCAAGTAAAGCCTCCAACGGGGTCTGTCACGAACGTCTTAAGTTAAAAATTGGAAGTTTTGGAATCTGATGTGAGAGTTTGGAAACCAGATAAGTTTGTTCCTCGATTATAGGGAACTACGGATACGGGTAAACCCATCTATGCCAAAATGGGAATCTGTGAGAAATATAGTTCCACAAGGTGCTGTACTCGACGTTTATGAGGCCGCATTTGGAATATAGTATTTAAGCAACAAATCCTTGTTCTAAATATGAAGCGGATATGATAAGACGAGTTCAACGAAGAGGGACTAATATGGTTAACGGTCATCCTGACCTATCTTATGAAAACCGACTCCAACACCTCAACCATTCTTCGTTGTCTAACGTAGGTTTAGAGGTAACTCAATAGTGACTTGTTGTATACTGAACGATGATCTTGTCGTTAACATGTCTTATCTCATTCATACATCTAGGGTGATCATCTTAGAGGACATTTTAAGAAATTTGGAACGTCGAGATCAAATCGCTTAGGTCTGGATTTCCGTTTCTCACAGCGAGTATTGAGTAACTGGAATAGTCTTCCAGAACACATGGTATCTGTGCCTTGTGTCGATACATTCAAAGCGAGACTGGGTCTCCATGGTACCATGAATCGTAAGAATTAATACAGGTCGATCAACCTGTCCTTGTAATTGAAGAGTGATAAGATCTGAGCGATATCGCAAATAGGAAATGACCGTCTAGAAGACATAATTACCGGCTAGATTAACTCCTGGTAATATTATTTTGTATTCAATATTGAAACAGAACACGACAGAATGAAATTACTTCAACAGCTGATCCAGTCTCAACCTTGAGAAAATAAATTTAGCGCTACGAAAAGGAGCTACTTACGCTGTACAATTCCTGTCGAGATTCGGGCACTTCAAACATTTTTCGTCTCTTTCAGTGTCACTTATGAGTATCGCACTGCATACTTCGCTAAAAATTATGTATAATATGCAAAAATTGACTATCTACTATCAAAACGTAACCAAGGACTGGTTTCATTTAGTTATACAGCACATCCATCAATACCCTGAACATTCCTAAAAATAGAAGCGCAGTGATCTCAGGATAGACAGCGAATCTCGATGTTTACTAAGAGGGAAAAAATCGGAACTGGGCCATCACTTTTCACAAGCATTTCAAATGGAACGTTGCAGGTCGATCGGAAATAAGTGTAATCCCGGCAGATCAGCTAGCAGTAGGCACAGTCTGTAGTCAGACAACCTAAGAGACTAATAATGTACACCCATATCAAAACGAGATCCTCAACTTATTGAAGAGGATAATGCACCTCAAATGATAGCGGAAAACCAGAACGAAGCTTCTGGCCAACGGATTCGGAGTATTTTGCTTAGACAACTTTTAATGGGTACTCATATCTTCTGCATGATGGCTTTCGTAGTTCCTCACGTTTCCGCTCCATACAGTAGAGCAGTCTTGACATTTGTAATGAAAATTCTGATTTTGTTGATGGTTGATATATGTTTTGAGTTCCAGATGTTGTTTGATTGTAAAAATGCTGGATTTGCTTCCTGTCCACGTCTTCAGTTAGGATTTTAAATCCTCCAAAACCTTTGATTTGGTTGACTCATGTTTTGTTGTATCAAGGACCTTCGTTCTTCCCTTTGTGCATGTTGAGACCTCCTGCTGCAGATAATGCTGCTATTGTGGTCGTTGTCAATTGCATTTGTTGCTGCGTGTGAGACAGACGAGCCAGATCATCTGCAAAGTTCAGATCGTCCAGCTTCATCGTGGCTGGCCCCTGTATGCCGCGCTTCCCATAATCGAGCCGATCACCTCAGAAGGATGAAGCGTGAGTGCAAGTGGCCTTCCCTAACACCGGTCTTCACCTCGAACGAGTCTGTCAGCTGTCCTCCGTGAACGATTTCGCAGTTTCACCCATCACAGGAATTTTGTGTGATGTTTACTACCTTCTCAGGTAGGCCGTGATGTCGTAAAAGTCTCCATAGTATCGTCCTGTCCACGCTATCAAATGCTTTCTCGTAGTCAATGAAGTGGATGTAGAGTTATGAGTTCCATTCAACTGATTGTTCCACAGTGACCCGTTATGTTTCAGTTTGGTCATTACGCGATTGATCCTTACGAAATCCACCCCGTTGATGAGTGGTGCCTCTAAAGTTCTCACACTTGCTGAGTTAGCTTTTCTTCGGTCTTTTGATGAGATATTCCTTTTTCTAGTCTGTTAGTACGTGTTCTGCCTTCTAAATTTTCTTGAAGATAATTTGGAATATTTTTGCAGGTGCTGCTACGTCTGCATTCATTACCTCTGCTGGGTTCAGTTCCGATGCTTTGCCGCTCTTGATTTATCTGGTGGCCATGCTGATCTCTTCATTTGCTGGTGAGCCATCAATAAACAGGATATCCATGGATGCTGCTTCGATATTGGGTGGGTTCACTGGGGTTGGTCGATTCAAGAGTTCCTTAAAGTGCTATAACCACATGATTCTTCAATGTTGCTGACTACTTTGCGTTCCTTGCTTTTTACCGACCATTCTGGTTTACCATATTTTCCAGTGAGCTTCATTGTTGTATCATACAACTGTCTCATGTTTCATTCACAGTCAGCGTTTTTCGCCGTCATTGCTACATCTTCCACATTTTTGCTTTGATGCTCCTCTTCACTTACTTGTTCGCTTCTGTGTAATCACCATGTGCCTAGG